TTTGTTTCCCAATTCATTGACCACCTCACGCACGACCAAGGATCAATTATTTTGGAATGTTACCGTTTATAATAGGCTCCTGTAAGAAATCTTAGAGCAATTTCAAAAATACGACCGTATTTTTGAACCAGCACAGTGGATGACCACCTTGCTGCAGCTACCCAATCAAGATTTTCTGTCCACACAAATCTGCTGGACTCATTCTCCCGCACACATTTCTACAACAGCTAGCCTCCTTCCCCTGGTTCGTGCATCTATCCTGGCTATATTCCTGTCGAATCAGATGAGCACTTCAGTCCACCAACGACTCACAAACACCATGCTGCAACAAATCTGTATCGTCATACATGATCCGAATCAATTTTAAAGAATTACTCACAGAATAGATCACTGACAGACAGGATCATCACAACCCCAGGGCAGTGGAGGGCTAGCCTGGCTAGGCTCGTCGTCACACGAAAGTTCAGTCAGAGGCAAAGTCCGTCAGGCAGGGCTAGCTCCCTCACAAGGTATGCCAGTCACAGACTATGTTAGTGAGAGAGGCTAGGTTGGTCACATGCTAGTAAACCACAAGGTAGGTCAGCCACAGAAAAGGTCATTTGGTACAAAATCACAAGGTAGGTCAGTAACCGGCTACGTCGGGCAAAAGGTAGGTCAAACAGAGGTCAGGTCATAACATGTTTGGTCAATCACAGGTTCGGACAGTAAGAGGTTCCGAAAATCAGAGGCTAGGTCAATCATAGACCAAGACACTCACAGGCTAAGACTCTCACAGGCTAAGACACTCACAGGCTAAGACACTCACAGGCTAAACACTCACAGGCTAAGACACTCACAGGCTAGGTCAAGCACAAGGTAGGCCCGACACAAGTAAGGTTCAGTCATAGGCTACAAATGCCACAGGAGGGTCATTGACAGCTATAACAGACACAAGCAGGTTTACTCATAGGCTGGTCACTCACAACAGCCTAGATCGGTCAGCCACAGGCCGATTCAGCCTCACGCTAGGGTACATACGAGCAGCGAGTAGACTTTTGACTCGACTTGTTTGACTCTAGTGGTCACTCTACGACTTTTCGTCTTGTCGAGTCAAGTCGGCTCGGCCTAATGGGCAATGCATCGCCCGACTCGACTGGGCATTCGTCGAGTTGGCGATTTGACACAGCACAGCTGACTGTCTCTAATCGACTAGTTTGCCACGACAATTTCCCGCACTTGCCTTAGCAACATATTGCTCAAAATCTGGATCTCGCATTTTCGAGATCTGATATCAGCCTTATCTCGTTATCTTCTTGAAGTCAAGATGTTCGACTTGAATCGTCTTCCATAACGCCAGGCTATCCGCTTGCTTGTTCGCTAGGTCGTTTCTACCTCGACTCGCGTGTTGACTCGATTCGCCCTGTGCACAGTCACAGGCTAGGTGAGACAAGATCGGTCAGTATCGGCAGATCAATCACAGGCTGGGTCAGTCACCATAAATTGGTCACAAGCTGAGGTGGGTAACAGGGTAGGTCGGCTATAGTCTGGAGAAGTGACAGCGGTGAGTGTAGCAACGATGGCGAGGAAAAGCAACACGGGAAGGGGTCGGGGCAACAACGCTAAGAGGGGCAAGAATGCGACAAGGAGCTCTGCTAGTTCATGGCGGCGTGCAAAATTCGTAGCGACTCGGCATGTAACCTAAAGTTGCACATTGGCCCACTCTGACAGAAATTCGAGAACCACAATTTGTAGGCTGTGAACCTCGGGCTTGCAAGTCGGAGGGCCGACTGGGGAAACGAAAGTGGGGCTTACCTCTATTGGGTTTCTTAGACAATCGCGTTACTGCGACTCTCGAAGTGACTCAGCAGCGGCGCGGCAATTCGATCTCTAGTGCGTGCTGCGTGATGGCGAGGCCGCTTGGCGATTTGAGAGTGCTCAATGAAGGTAGGCAAAGAGACGGGCGGGCCGGGAAAAGACGAGAGTGCAGAGATTTCTACTCTAACGGATGAACGAGCTCTACGGTGCGTAGACACGATATTGGTGGTTCACTAAGGAGACAGAAATTTGTCTAAGTCCTTGAAGGCATAGGTTTGGCACACACAGAAAATTCACTAGAATAGAATGAAAGATAGAATACAAGGGGTAAAGAACTACCCAACCACTGAACCTACCAAGAGAACGTTCTCACCTAGAACGTTTAGATAACTACTACTTAGCTGCGCTTTGCCAAGTCAGCATCGGCAGGTGAAAATTACAACACATGCTTAGTTGGTAATTTTACCTACCTAAAAGTAGTTATTTTAACTGTTCAGGTTGTTTTAAACAACTTCTGTAACGCACGTTTTCGTAGTTACGAAAACGTGCGCCAGGTTCAGTTTGCTCAGGTGGTTCAATTCGGCCCCAGATTGAACACCCCAAGTTCACGCACTGTTTCCGGGGGTCAATTTCTCAATGTCCGCAATGTTCCGAAATTCCCACGCAAATGTTCCGAAACGATCGCATTTTCGCGTCGGAAGGGTTCGCCGGTCGAAATTGTGATCCTCTGCAGAATTTCGTTTCTGCAGATGCGCCTTCTTCTGCAGCTCCGAAATCTCTGCAGATGCGCCCTCCTCTGCAGCATTACGATCTGCTCTGCAGATTCGCCCTCTTCTGCAGACTCAATTTCTGCAGACACGCGTTCCTCTGCAGCAGGAGTTCATTTCCGCTTCTGCGAAGTACTTCTGCTGCAGTGCAGAGCTCCGCCCTGTCCTCTGCGAATTTCCGCTTCGGTAGAATTTCGCGTCCCCGCAGAACTCGACGACCCTCTGCAGGGTCAGTGCAATCTCAACAGAGAGGACACGATGCGCGGAAGATGGTACGGATGGCTACAGAGGTATCGGCGTCGCCGTTCGTACTGATTTCGTAGACGCGATTCGGGTCACCGTTCCTCATAGTGGGAAGTTCCGCTCTCATGATGTACGTCAACAATGCCTGTGATTGACACAGGCTTGGAGTGGGAATGAATCAAAAGGAAGGGGTTTCAAATTATCACCCGTATCGAGTTTGTCACATGCGTTGCTTTCCAGCACAAAGGCAATTGTGTTTCTTTGCAGTTACCACTGCAAATCGACATCTGTTCGCAAACACCCCCAAACGAATAGTCCCACAAAGCGAAGTGCCAAATGAATCAGCAATCGCTGTGTCGTTCTCTGTTCGCCCAAGCAACGAATTTGAGTCACCTCCCAATTTCGATGGCATTGCTCCAGCCGTCACCTGTTACACACTCGAGACGACACGACGATCACGCGCTCATCGCATAATCCTAGCCGCCGTAGAAGCACACTAGTCATCGCATAGCGTTCCGCGTAGCAGCTAGGACCAGTCATGCTGCTTGTCCTCCTCTCGTCACGCTATCTTTTCGTATTTTTACCCCTCTTTCGGGGTGAAATTCGCAACTGCGCTCGCTTCCTAAGTTTCCAAAGCCATTATATCCTTTCCAGTAAGATTCACAATCGCGCGTTTCAGATCGTTTGGCGTGTCCGACGCCCGTGCGGGAGCTCAGAGCCAAGTGCATGCGCTAGTCTCTCAGCACTACGTTCTACTCTTTGAAACCCTACAACAGGTATGTTCCCACCGTCATAGCATTTATTTCGGTTTGCACACTGTCAACTACCCTCAGTCGTCATCTCCTCCTTTCGCCAGTGCTTTTAAGTCCTCTATTGCTCCCGACCCTCTGTTTCTCCCTCGTATACCTCCCCGCGGTCTCCATTCCATGTTTCCAGAGCTTAGCGCGCTGAAAGGAAAAGCACAGTAAACAGTCGTTTAGTCTGCATGGAGGCGTCACGCTTCCTTGGTCTTACTAGGGCACTCTGACGCCAATTAGGTCTTCAAGCAGTCATGCATTGCCAAGGTTACTATGTCTGTATGGACTAGCATTGCTGCAAGTCCAACCGTCACGCATCCGCATCTTTTTGCTGTTCTCGCTTGAGTCCCCGCCGTTGCAAATGCAGTTATCCCTCGAATCGGTAGCTCACATTTCCTCTACCAAAGCACTTCGACTCTTTCATCCCAGCAGTTTGTAACGGTCCATGCTGATTCTCACGTCTCGTAGAGCAGAATAGCAGTACTCTGCTCTAGCGTGAGCAGAGGACTGGCCTAGTCGAACGAGGCTCGCCACTCCCCGCTTGGACTCACTCTCGTGATGACCAAGTCGACCCTGGTACACCCTGAGCCAAAGCTTGTGCCGGCCTAACTCGTGCCTATCAGGTATGGTAATGCCAAGCCAAGGAGGCACGTGGCACTGTCGGGCTCACAGTTTGTGCTGGCCCAGCCAACTCATGGCTATCTGATTTACTAGTGCCCAAACCAAAGAGGGGCTTGGCACTGTCGGACTCACTGTGAGACTTAAATCGTGTGACCCACCCTAGCTCGCCCTCCCCCCAGGTGCACTCCACCAGCTCGCGCTCCCCCACATTTCATGCCAGAGTGAAGTGTGTTGCTCAGTGCAAGAAAGCTTTTTCACCTCGTCATCGGTGTTGCTTCGCTGCCTCATGCACCATCCTATCATGCTCCCTCCCCACTCCAATATTCTGTTGGGCATTTCCTGTTAGAAAACAATTGAATGCTGTAAGACCTCTGTCCTTGCTTTTCTGGCCTGCTTTCACTCTCCTCGCCCTCTTACTACCTACCTTCTCCCATTTCGCTAAAAATTCCTCTGACCAGCTGGAAATTTCTTGCTGCTCTGCTTGATCAGCTCACTTCATGGGACTGGCTCTACACCAACTGCGTAAAAGCCCTCTATCCGCCAGTCAATTCTCTCTCTTCTGCTACTCGTTATCTGCTTTCTTACTCACAGCACTGCGTCATTCCTCACGCCCTTGTAATTGGTCGTGTTTATGTGTGCACTGACCATGCCCCGTCTCCCTCTTTTCTTTTTACGTTCCTCCTTGCTCTCAAGATACTCGACCCTGACATACACAGGCTTGTCTGTTTCCACAGTCTGCAGTCACGGAACAAGGGTCATAGAGGAGTGCGCGGACGATATGGCTGCTGAGAGAGCGATCGGTGCAGTGAACGAGTTGATCAAAGAGGCGGTGCTGGCAGCAGTGGGAGAGGAGCTGGCTGCACTCAAGGAGGAGGTGGATGAGCTGCGGCACATGTTGGCAACAGTGCAGGGGGATTTGGCAGCGGTTAAGGGGGAGCTGGCAGTGGTGAAAAGGGAGTTGGCAAATCACAAGGGCATTATGGCAGAGCAACGGGTTGAGATTAGTAGGGCATCGGTTGTAGGAGGTCTGAGACGGAAGAGTAGAAAGAGAAGGAAAGAAGTGACAGTGGGGTTTGCACAGGAAGAGGAGAGGACGGAGGTGCCGGAGTTGTCTCAGCCGCGTGCCACTGCGGGTTTGGCAGCTGGTAAGGACCGGCAAGCGATACAAGGTCTGAAGCTGGAGTTGACCAGAAAATTCGCCAGACTGAAGGCGATCAAAGGACTGCATGGCTGGTGAGTGATGAGTGAACTGTTTCATGGGCGACGGCACGCATTGCTTGCTGGTTCTTTCTTACTACCATTGCCTTCCTTTCCTTTGTCATGTTCCCCTCCCCCCCACCCCCTCACCATTTCTTCCAGGCAATTAAGTCAGCATCAGTGCAGACGAAGACCCTCTTGGGCCTCCAGCATCTCCATGGTCTCTCAGACGACATACTTGGCCATGTGTCTACATTGACCCATCTGAAGATAATTGACGTGGGTGGGAGCTCAGGCTTCAGCGCAGAGGGCATCAAGCACCTCTACAGGCTGCCACAACTGGGGGAGCTAGACTTCAAACACACAAGCATCTCAGACGCTGCCTTGGAAGGCATTGGGTCCTTGACCTGTCTCGAGTATCTCATTCTCAAGGGTACTAAGGTGACCGATGCTGGGCTGCGGAACTTAATAGGTCTGTCCTCTCTCAAACATCTGTGGCTTTGTTATTGTAAAGGTGTGACAAATGCGGGCATGGTGCATCTGGGGAGGCTGACATGGCTTGAGTGCCTTGAACTGGAAGGCACGGCAGTCACGGATGGTGGGCTGCAGCAGCTGACTGCCCTGACCAACCTGAAATTGCTCCAGCTGCCAAATGGGAAACTGGCTTCCAAGGAGTACGTGCAGTACGTGTGCAGGTCGGTTTAGGCAGGTGGACTGGTAGGGGGTGATGCGATGGGAGGGAGGCAAGGTGAGGGCAGAGTTGTCGCTGACTGCTCGGACACTGCCAAGGAGCAGCATAGAGGCATGGGCTGTGACGAATAGGGGGAGCGCATGGAGGAGTGTGCAAGGTGGTTTGGCAAGGCTTTGCATGTGTCAACCCAGCCCAGATTAGCCTACGGTGCTGTATGAGCAGGAGTGGTCAGCATGTAGGCATGTTAGATGATGGATGGGCCATGCACGAGGATGCAGCGACCTGTTGGAGGGGATTCTGTTGGAGGTATGCTGCTGCATTGGCCATCCATAGTGGACTGTGAACTGGTAGGGGTGATTGACTTTCAAGATGATACTTGGTGGGTGTGGGTTGGTGGTGGCAGGGGGTGCACTGCACTGCACATGAGAATGAAAGTTTGTACATAGTTTAGCGTTATAAGTGAACTTGTTCCTTGTGTTTACACATATTCTAGGAACCCCTTTGGCAGGATGGAGAAGTTCACAATAGGGGAAGACTGCCTGACTGGCTTGGGGTATCCAATTTGCAAACACTACAATAGATGAGTTGATTATTCAATAGAGATCTCTCCTTATCAAGTACTACCAGTACGTCTATGAAAACGATGGCGGGTCGGTTTAATGGACACAAATACGGTACCGTATACCATCCTTGCGCTAGGCAAGGCAGGGTTATTCTCAGAAGGGCTTTGCTACGGGTACGTGAAGGCAGGCATGACATGCTTTTCTCAAGAGGCGTTAGGTAATAACACATAATCCACACCAGGCCTTCTTCTGATACACCATGCAGCCACCCCTCAGCGTATGCTGCTGTGTGGAAACCTTATTGTGTCCCTCTGAGCTCGAGGGGATGATGCTGGGAGTGGTACGGTAACTGAAGGGCAGGCATGAGAGTGGGGGGCACTGGTGTTATGGGAAATCAAAATTGATGTGGAAATGGCAGAGTAGTAGGTTGCATGGTATTAAGCGAGGTGTGTGATACAGTACCTCAAGAGGCATGCAATGTGGCACGGACGACGCCAGACTACTCATGCACCATCTTACCATGAAGAAGTGATAAAAAGTGAGAGGGGAAGGAGCAGCAAGGGGTGCAGGGTGAGAAGGGCTATGAAGGCATCTTGGGAGTGTTGCAGAAGGGAAGGGAGGACACAATATATGGCAGGGAGAAGGAGGTGAAGGGACGCATGGGAAACATTTTGGGGTTGAGAAGGAAGTGACAAGGGCTGGAAAAACTTAATGGGATTTATGTCGGGGCAAAAGAAGGGCAGGCAGTAGTGGATGGCAGGAATACTAGATTCAAGAACAACATCGTAGGATGTGCTCTGAAAAGATGAGCCGCCCCATGACACGAAGGTGACAAAAGCTGGGAAAAAGGTTTTGGGGATTATCATGAGACAGAGAGAAGGGCAGGTAAGCGAAGGGCAGGCACAGTATGGGACGACGTATGAGGAGTGCATCAATGGCTGTCGCAACGGCCAAGGCTACCGTTTCCTGCTAGAGCGCACATATATGGCTACTCATGCTGCTCAAGAACAAAACACCCACATAGGTGCCGACTATTCGATGTGGAGTGGTAATCACCATCACTCCAGATATTGCGATACAACCAGTGCTTCAAGCATCTCCTCGAGCCGGAGGCTGGTGGTGATACGCCTGACTCGGCCTCTCCACCAGCCTCACCACCCTCCACGCCATGCCACCATGGCAATGCCTCAGCTAGAAGCAGCTGCGGCGAGATAGGGGAAGCGCAGGGGGAGGGAGAGGTCAAGATTGTGAGGAGAAGTGTCAAATAGGATGGGAGGTGGGACAAAGTGGGCGGAAGGGGGGGAGTAGGGGGTCCAGGGAAAGAATGCAGGAAAGGAAAGGTTTGAGCAGCACAGTAGGGCGAGTGGGGTGCAGGGGGGATTTAGAGACAGCAAGTGGTTGTGGTGAAAGGTGACGTGTGGAGGAAGGAGAGGTGGTGCCTGAGAGTGCGAGGGCTACTACGGTGCTGCTGCTTGGCAGAGGGGCACATGAGATGGGGAGGGATAGATGGGTAGCAGATGGGAGGGTGATGGTGGGCAGAGGAGCACACGAGATGGGGAGGGACAGATGGTTCATGCACCGGGCGAATGACAATAAGGGGGGAAGAAAAGGTAGGGGGTGGGGGGTTGATTGGGTTGGTACGACACCTTCATGACCACCCAGGAGGGTGAAGCGGCCTGAATGACTACTCTTTGTGCCGCTTCACCGCCATTCCCACTCACCATGGTCATACCATCAACACCTGTTTAGGCCCACGTGTTTTGGTAAGCACCCAAAAAGGCATGTGCAATCTGTTGAGCCCCCATTCATCCCTGCCCAAACCAGCGGCATATCTTTGCCCTGTCAGCCCTTGTCTGCTCAGGTTTGACTCAGCCCCAACGAGCCGCCCCAAGCCATGCGGGAGAACCTGGATGGAATCTGCAGCAGCACGGCCCGATGCGAGCCACCATCCTCGTGACCATCCACTCGACCCGAGCCACACAGGTCCACTTTGAGCTTCCAAGTTTCAACTGGAACTGTCAAGTTGGAGCCCAAACTGGACGCCAAACTGGAGCTTCCTGATTTCGCCTGCCCCCCTCCTACTCGTTTCTGGTGGTTCTGTGTTTATCTTCCTCCTTCCTGAGAGTTCGGATGGAACCACATTGGTCTCCCACTATGGTCGGGGCCAAGAGCCGGCCAGTTCTCAAAACGCTTCGAGGCTAGTCGGTTGGGGTCCAACAGCCTGTCACAGTATCTAACGTGCACGTTCGGAAAGAGTTGACCTAGGCTGGTTGACCAATGCCTATGCCTATCAAGAAACCATGGCTCTAGCTCAATCCAATCTCCTCATCTGTCCCAATTACCCGCATCGCTCTGCTCTGCTATGTAGATGGAGCAATATGATCATGCTTAACACAAACCTTCAGTCATGACTCCTCATCTGTCCCAATTACCCGCATCGCTCTGCTCTGCTATGTAGATGGAGCAATATGATCATGCTGAACACAAACCTTCAGTCATGGCACAAGCACCGCCCAACTAAGGAGGCGGCGAAGTGAGAGAGACGGCGAAGGAGGCAGGAGGGTAGCCTGTATGATAATGCCAAGTGCTTGCGCCTCTTCTTGTTATCACATGCAGCAGCGCCATGTGTCCAGCATGCAATGAGCAGCGTGCAGCAAACACCCTCTTACACAAGGTGACACCGCGGCTGCTGCCTGGCTAATCGGCCCACATGCATCACTCTTTGCCTCCGCACTCCCTGCTTGCATGAATGTGGTTCTGCCACGCTGCCAAGCTGTGTGCTGCAGTGACGAGATGGGCTCCTCACCACTACTGCAGGACAGGTGGTGCTGGTGATGGAAGGAGAGGCGAGTGAGGAAGGAGCACGCAGGGGCATAAATCAGAGTGAGGAAGGGGGAGGTTGACAATTGACAGGTGATGCAACTGGTCATGGAAAAGCAGCGCCCAGATTCGTTGGAGCAAGCATGGGAGCAAGGGTGCATGGGAGCATGGGAGCATGGGAGCATGGGAGCATGGAAGCATGGGAGCATGGGTGCATGGGAGCATGGGTGCATGGGTGCATGGGAGCATGGGAGCATGGGTGCATGGGAGCATGGGTGCATGGGTGCATGGGAGCATGGGTGCATGGGTGCATGGGAGCATGGGTGCATGGGAGCATGGGAGCACAGGAGTATGGGAGCATGGGTGCATGGGAGCATGGGAGCATGGGAGCACAGGAGTATGGGAGCATGGGAGCATGGGAGCACAGGAGTATGGGAGCATGGGAGCATGGGAGCACAGGAGTATGGGAGCATGGGAGCATGGGAGCATGGGAGTATGGGAGCATGGGAGCATGGGAGCATGGGAGCACGGGAGTATGGGAGCATGGGAGCATGGGAGCATTGGAGTATGGGAGCATGGGAGCATGGGAGCATGGGAGCACGGGAGTATGGGAGCATGGGAGCATGGGAGCATGGGAGCATGGGAGCACGGGAGTATGGGAGCATGGGAGCATGGGAGCATGGGAGTATGGGAGCATGGGAGCATGGGAGCATGGGAGCAGGGGAGCACGGGAGCATGGGAGCATGGGAGCACGGGAGCATGGGAGCATGAGAGCATGGGAGCATGGGAGCATGGGAGCATGGGAGCATGGGAGCACGGGAGTATGGGAGCATGGGAGCATGGGAGTATGGGAGCATGGGAGCATGGGAGCATGGGAGTATGGGAGCATGGGAGCATGGGAGCATGGGAGCATGGGAGCATGGGTGCATGGGAGCATGGGTGCATGGGAGCATGGGAGCATGGGTGCATGGGAGCATGGGTGCATGGGAGCATGGGAGCACAGGAGTATGGGAGCATGGGTGCATGGGAGCATGGGAGCATGGGAGTATGGGAGCATGGGAGCATGGGAGCACAGGAGTATGGGAGCATGGGAGCATGGGAGCACAGGAGTATGGGAGCATGGGAGCATGGGAGCCAGCCAGGGAGCAGTGGAAAAGGGGAACATGGGAGTGCCAGAGAGCAGTAGGCCATTGGGGGAGAATACGATGTGCAGAAACGGGGCAGCAGAGGAGGGCGGGGGAAAAGTGCTGTTGGAGAGGGAGTGGGAAAAGAGGAAGTGGAGGGGAAGAGAGGGGAAGGGAGACGAAGAGGTAAAGAGAGATGAGGGAAAGGGGGTCTGGCTTCGTTGCCATTGCCAGATCCACGCAAGCAGCCGAAGCGCCAAAATGAGGCTGGATAGGCGAGATGCAAGGGGTGGAATTTACTTCCAGCATCACATGAAGGACGTTATCAAGCAAAAAGCACCATCAATCTCGACACAGCAAACCACACTCTCTATGACCACCAGTTTAGAAGAGCCTCAAAGGCTGCAGTGTAGGCATGAGCGAGGGTCCGAGCCAAGCCGCACCGTGCCGAGCCGTGCTGAACCGAGCCGGCAGCTGGCCCGGCTCGTGGCTGGTCGGACGGAGGCGAGCCGGGACGAGCTGGTCTCAGCCAGTACGGCACACTGCCGACGCAGAACTGGAGTTTCATCACCATATCCACGCAAACACAACAATTCACGGCCAATGAGCGGATCGGGGAAGTTAAGACGAGATGAATCGGCTTGTCTACAGACTGACATCTCATCAAGCCGGGCGACGGCTTGTCGGATAAACTTCAACGAGCTGAAGAGCCGGGTCACGGCTCGCCGAGCCAGTTCGGCTTGAAGCGGTCATCCTGGGAGAGAAACAAGTGTCCATCTTACCATGAATGAGCACATGGTACCCTGTCATGAACACCACATCAAAGAACTTGCATTCACACTCGAGCTGCCAACGATCCTTCAGAGCGAAGCACAGTGCGTCAAGCAGTATTAGTGAACCTAATAAGACTCACAAACGAACTCTTCAAGAGGCAGAAACACCACGTCGCACTAATCCTTGCCCTTGCATGCCCGCAATGCCTCGGCCCCGCTGGAAGCGCAGACAATGACGATCTGCAGGCTTGCGCGTCCTCTCTTCCTTCACCCCCTCTTCTCTCTTCCTCCTCCTCCTTTCCTCCACCTCCCACTGCTCCCCTGTCTCCTCTCATCCCCCTTGTGACTTCTTGCCCCACTACTTAACTTCTCGTAAAACCCTCGTCTCCACTCCATCGTCTTCCCTCTTGATCCGTCCCTCTTTGGAGCGAATCGTCACCAGTTGCAGCTCGTTGCCTCCGCGTCTCTGCTCTCCAGCTCTCGCAGCTAGTAGCGGTTGCCTGTTGGCGTGGAAGAAGGAAGGGAGTGAGGGGAAAGGGGGGAGAGGGCGACGAGGGGAGGGGCGTACTGAAGAGCAAGGAGGGGGGAGTGGAACATAGCTGATGGTTTTCCTCTGGTCAGCAAAATTGCACCCGAAGCTTAATAGTGGTTTTCGATAGACGAAAGGCGCAAAGGAGGGCCGCATGGTTACAACGACAAAATGGATGGAAGAAGGGAGATATGATTATGACGAGATCGAGAGCAGCAGCCCTTCATAAATCCACACCATTTGGGTGGGACAGGAAGACGGTGTCGTCACATCCTGCTCAGCTCCTCTACGTCCGAGTCGTCGCTCTGCCGCCGTCCACTGCCGTCAGCTGAGAGGGCACCCCGCTGCATTCATTCCGCCTGCTGCCACGACGCAGCCGTGCGCTCACCCAAATTAATGGCGAATGCGGCGACAGGAGCCATCACTGGAATTGCATTGAATGTAGTGTGAGGAAGGGATGATTATGTTTCGCCATCACGCCCCTTGAAAAACCCACGGTGGATAATCGCGCATCGCAAAACCAGAGCGGCATCGTTTCAGCGACAAATTCTAAGCACGTAATTCTAATACTAACGTCGCGCGTCGCCACTTATGTGGTCAGTGGCGACATCGAGGCTATGCGAAATGACAGCAATATCTCCCATCTCGTCAACCGATCTATACCCTGGTGGCGCATGTATTTGCGCGTTCGTAGCGAAGAACTCCTAAGAACGGACCTGATGAGTTGCTGCGCGAATCTCGCTCTGGCGACAGCGGGGATGGTAGCTTATTCTGTGGAGATTCTGAAAGTGCTGATGGCTTATTCAAGTTCGGGTAGCAAATACGGGATCAGATGAGGGGCTGGGTTCGTTCGGACAGGACGCACAAGGTTGGTTGTGGTGGCGGTTCGAAAGTGAGTGATCCTGAACATTTGGTGCTCAATAGTGAATGGCAAATATCCAGAACTCGAAGTTCAGTTCATTTTTTGCTGTAGCACCTTGTTACCAAACTATTCAATAAAACGAAAAACGGTTCCGTATGTGTGAAGAATAGGGACTACACAAACGAAATCCCGGCATGGACGATGGTTCGTTCACAGGAAGGAAAGAGGGATTTGCTTAAAACCTAGCTCAGCCACTCTGCATACTTGAATTACCTTTTGTAAACGCACAGCACCTGATCAAGCCGCACCCCTTGACCTTTGGATCGTCACACTTCTGATCCCGTCGGTAGCCATGAGACTGAATTAGAGCAGTAAGCACATTATGGAGCAGCTAAATGCTAGCTAAAATAGCAGCTCGAGGCATCATCCACTGAAAGCGTTTCCCGATAGTCTTCAGATTTCGATTATCAAATCCGTACACGCGACACGTTTCGCGTCACTAGCCAGTTAGGGTTAGCGAGGATTCAGGCATACACAAGAGCTCAACAAAATCGACGTAGGCAACGGAAAGGAATTCATGAACTCATACGTCGCCTCGCGTAGATCAGCCCGCCGATCGCTATGGCTAGTCCTACCTCATATGTCACGGCCATTTGTCGGTTCGATTTCCGGATTCATTACCTATGGGATACGTCAAGCACACCGAATCGCATCGCGATCTTACGTTTCTTCCTTGCCAATCATCGATCGGATCGGATCGAATCCGAACGACCATGCGGGAAACCCGTCTCTTCAAATCCAAAACCCAGGCCGAAGCTTCGAGGCGCCCCATGATAATTTCTCATCCCACGTCCGAAGCTTCGCGGCATGGTCCGTCGCTGGTGCGTCGTCCAGGCCAGCAGACGCAGAAGCTTCTGAGGCGGAGGCTGCTATTTCTGGGTCGAAATCACTTTCTAGGACCAAACCTTTAGTAGCGGTGCAAGCGGAGCTTCAAACGCGTTCAGTGAAGGGCAAGGAGAGGGGGAGTGGAAAAGAGAGTCAGGGGAGCATCAGGAGAGTGGGGGACGAGGAGGGGGGAGAAACGGGAGGTGAAGATGTGAGCGATGCAAGGAGAGCAGGGAATGTGGGGGGAAAGAGTGAGGGAGGCGGGAGCAAGAGCTGCAGGACGAAAGGCTGCAAGGAGGAGGAGGAGGAGGAGGCAGTGGCAGTGATTGCTGGAGTGCTGAGGGAGAAATTCGGGCCTCAGATTGTGAAAGAGGAGTTGGAGGAATGGGGGAGTGGGATAGGAAGCAGCGAAGGCGAAGAGGGGGTGGGGAGATTGAAAGTGGAGGAGGGGGACGATGAGGAGGAGGAGGAAGTGGAGGAGGAGGAGGAAGCAGAAGTAGAACCGTGTGAAGAGAACGCACCACCCACCACATCTCCTTCCACACCCCCTCCTCCACTCAACAGCCGGCGGGTCGTATCTCGCTCCTCCCTCCTCTCCCTCTACCGCTTTTTCTCCTCCCACCTCGGCATTTCCTCCCCTTCCATTGTCTCTTCCCTCCTCGCCACTTACCCGCAACTCCTCCGCTCCAATCCCACCAATGATTTTCTCCCACGTGTCCGCCTTCTCCAGTCATATGGCATTTCCGATGCTGACATCGCGCACATGACTTTGAGTAACCCAGCCTGGCTCCGCTCCTCCCTGCCACAGATTCAGAATATGCTTGAGCTTCTTTTAGGTAAAGGCATTCGCCGTAGCAGATTGGGTCTGGTGCTCCGACGTGGTCGCAACTTACTCTGCCGTGAAGCATGTTCAACGAACCTGGACATTCTGGTGGAGAAGGCAGGGGTTCCTGTGGACAAGCTGGGTGGGATTATAGAGAAATGCCCGTCCATCTTGGCTCGGAGCAAAGAGACGCTGAATACGCAACTTGAGATGCTATCAGCCTATCTCAAGGCGAAATCTGGACGGAAGGTAGAAGCGGGTACCACCAGTAAAAGCCCCCTGAAGCAGCAACTAGATGAGCCGCATCTGGACAAGAGCCACCTTAGCAGGCTTATCCTGAACTTTCCAATAATTTTCTCATATTCTCCCTATCGCATTGCAGAGAATATCGCCATGCTCCAGTCCTTCACTCCCCCAGGCTCGTCCTCCATTGCAAGCTCTGTGCTTCGTCGTGGCCCCAACATCATCGGTTTCAACAAAGAAACTCTCTTAGCTAAGCTCCAGTTCTTTGTGGAGCTGGTGGGGGAGGAGGCAGCAGGGAGAATGGAGAGGAGCTTCTCGCAGGTTCTTTATCTATCCAAGGAGAACGTGGAAGGCAAGGTGGCGGTATTGGCTGATTTGATTGGCCAGAAGAATGCTTTGCGGATGGTGGCACAATTTCCTTTGCTACTAGCTTCTAGTGAAGATGTCATGAGGGAAACTTTTAGAGAGCTTGTGCGAGAAGTGGAAGAAGAATTACGGAGCAGAAGTGGGAAATGGGACGCAAAGGTTGGGGGAAGGTAATGGAGGTAACTGTTTGGAAGGGGAAAATGATTCCCGAGCACTTAGTGTCGAGAGACGCAGGGCTCATCGGTTGGTTGTGGATTTGGTTATGAGGTACCCGCCGTCTATCTATTACAGTTGGAATACGAACATCAAGTCCAAGGTGGAGTACTTAAAACGGGACATGGGGCTCTCTGTAATGGAGGTGCTTCCTTACCCAACATTTCTTGGGTACAGTTTGGATCGGCGAATCAGACCGCGACATGTGGCACTGGTGCGAATGGGTTATGCGGTTGTGGCACATGAGATTGCTATTCAGACGAGTGTTGGGGACAGGAGGGGTGTTTCAATAGGAGCTGGGAAACAGAGGAGCAAGCTGGGTTCTGTGTCTGACAAAGTGGAGGGGGTAGAGGGGATTGAATGGGGAGCGGAAGAAGGGAAGAGTGGGCCGTTATATGGGGTTGTCGCAGGCAATGATGAGCCAGGGGAGAGAGTAGTTATGGAGCGGCAGCTTCTGGATTTGGAGGCGACAAAGAAAATTGTGTGTTTGCAGCAGTTTCTCCTATGTACAGACAAGCAGTTTGAGGAGAAGTTTGGGGTTAAGTTGTAGGGCTGGTGCTGACAGGCTTCTTCGGCTTCCAATGTGCCCCGGGCCTAAGAGTCCATGCCCGAGTGTGAGGGTGTGTGCCAATGCCTGCGTCCGTGCCTCCACACTGTGAATCTAAATCTGTGAGGTGTGCAGGTAAGAGTGCCAAGGCTGCTACAGGTGCCTCTGCTACAGCTGCCACTGCTACAGCTGCCTCTGCTACAGCTGCCTCTGCTACAGCTGCCTCTGCTACAGCTGCCTCTGCTACAGCTGCCTCTGCTACAGCTGCCAGTGCTACAGCTGACTCTGCTACAGCTGCCTCTGCTACAGCTGCCACTGCTACAGCTGCCCCTGCTACAGCTGCCTCTGCTACAGCTGCCTCTGCTACAGCTGCCTCTGCTACAGCTGCCAGTGCTACAGCTGACTCTGCTACAGCTGCCTCTGCTACAGCTGTCTCGGCCCTCTCCCTGCTGGACCTGCTACAGCTGTTCCTGTGGGTGGCGGTGTCACCGGCTGTAGCAGAGGAGCAGCTGTTCAGAGGGCTGCTGCTCAAGGCCCTGCAAGGGAGGTTCGCGAGGTGAGAGGCTTGGCAGAAGGCTTGGTAGTGAAATTTAGCAAGGCTCCACTGCCACCATCTTTTTGATAAGTTCCTCCATTCCCATAGCCCACGCTCTCTCTCATCAATCCAATGTCACTCGTTGTTTTGTATCGTCACGCACTTGAAATCGTCTCTCGTGTATCCTCTCCTCTTTCCTCCATGCACTATCCCTTTTCCAACATCTCTCCCCCCAGGATGGGCGCTGCCATGCTCTCTGAAGCCCTCTTCGCCTTCTTCCTCCTCTCCCTCTCCCTCCTCTTCCCCAACATGGCCCTTGGGATTGCCGCCGGCCTGCTTGCTGGTGAGAATGGGCTATGAGGTTGTGGCACACGAGATGGTCAGTCGGACGAGTGTTGGAGGCAGGAAGGATATTTTGACAAGATCTGGGGAGAGAGGATTGAATGCAGAGCGGAAGAAAGAAGAGTGAAGGAACGGGTGACAGGCAAGAGCAGCAGTGCGAAGAGGAGGATTGACTGTTACTTGGGGGTTTCCTAGGGAGTGACGAGCCAGGAGGGAGAGCTGTCAAAGAGCAGCAGCTTGTGAATATGGAGGCCGCAAGGAAAACAGTGTGCTTGCAGCAGTTTCTTTGGGGTACAGACCAGCAGTTTGAGGAGAAGTTTGGGGTCAAACTGTAAAAAATGAGCTAATATCAGCATACCTCTCCAGAGGCACTGCGGCAGGCGTCGAGTTGGGCGGGGAATCTTCGAAGCAGTGCATGCGGCGTTGGCGGCAGCAGTGGCGGCTGCAGGGAGAGCGGGAAGGAGGGCGAGGGGCGGTGAAGGGGAGGCTGCTGATGGGGCTGGCGGGTGTTTTGACAACTTGGAAGTTGCAAGGTGAGACGCTCTGATGGGTGGGTATTCGTTTGTAACTCCCTCTGGAGAGGGAGTGTTGAAGGGGGGTTGAAGGAAATGGGAGGGATGAGATGGGGGGCGATGTGAGAGGCGGTGTGTGTGAGGCTGTATGTTGAGTCCATGTGTGAGATTCGCTCAAATGACTGTGAGGGGCCAATGAATGGGGGAGGTTGCTCCAAGTGGAGATTTAGAGGATCCGACCAAATACCCTGCGACTCTCCTTTCCCCTGAAACTCGCACCCTCCCCTCATCCCCTCTTCTTACCCTTACCCGCTCATGACGCAGTCCCCTTTCTCTTACCTTCTCCCCCTCCTTTACCCTCTCACCCCCGCCCCTTACCCACCCTACCCCTTCCCCTTACCTCCTCCCCCTCCCATTACTCCTTTCCCCTTCCCTTACCCCTTCCCCCTGCCCTGACCGACCCCCTCCCTTTCTCCCTACGCACTCCTTCTCCACCTTACCCTCTCCCTTACCAGTACTCCCTTCTTTTTCCTCCATCTCCTTTCCCTTCAGCCGCCCCTCCCCAGACCCCAGGCCCCTAACCCAACGCCAGGCTGTGCTGTGACCTGTCTCGCGACGCGATTCATCCCTGTCGAATCCATGCGGGCGATTGGAGTGGAGAGTGTGGGCATCAGCACGGCGTGGGTCTCTCAGGCTGGACTATCATCGCACCGTGCCGTACTGGAGTAATGCCTCACCCCGGCCACTGCACCAGCGACAGCGGCGCTGCTGCTGGAAGTGTAACGACTGCTCCCCAGCTGTGCGCCGTCTCCTACACCCCCACTTGTCGTCCGCCTGCCTGCCTTCCACCAAGCCGTTGCTCCCTGCCCTCCTTCCCTGCTCCCTTCCTCTCCCTATTGCACCTGACCTGTTACTCCCACCTGGCTTCTACTTGCCCCATTGCACTCACTGCATGACTCCTGCCTCTTCTCTTACGGTCTTGGCCACACTGCTCCTGCACCAGCGGTCTCTCCCCTCCCCTCCCCACACCCTCTCCCTCTCCCCCTTCCTCCCCTTTCCCCCGTCCCTCCACTCCAGCACGGATGCTTGCCCCCCAGACCAGAGTGCGAGTGCACTGACTACCAAGGCACTATGCCGTCCCTTCCACATGCCCTGCCTGTCTGGAACGGCACGGATGCACTAACTACCTGTGCGACCTGCAGGTCACAAGCAGGACAGATCAATGGCAGGTCAGTCTCAGGTCAGTGTCAGGTCAGTTTCAGGTCGGTTTTAGGTCAGCTTCAGGTCGGTTTCAGGTCAGTCTCAGGTCGGTTTCAAATCAGTCTCAAGTCGGTTTCAGGTTAGTCTCGGGTCGGTTTCAGGTCAGTTTCAGGTCGGTTTCAGGTCATTCTCAGGTCGGTTTCAGGTCAGTCTCAGGTCGGTGTCAGGTCATTCTCAGGTCGGTTTCAGGTCATTCTCAGGTCGGTTTCAGGTCATTCTCAGGTCGGTTTCAGGTCATTCTCAGGTCGGTTTCAGGTCATTCTCAGGTCGGTTTCAGGTCATTCTCAGGTCGGTTTCAGGTCATTCTCAGGTCGGTTTCAGGTCATTCTCAGGTCGGTTTCAGGTCCCCCACCCACCCGCCCCCTCTCCCATCACTCACTGCCTCTTTTTGTCACCCACCTCACCGGCCCCTCCCATCAGTCCCCCATCTTCTGATCTCCCTCTAGGTGTGCATAGTGCAACCACCACTCTCCATCATTGTCCCCAAATCCCATTCACCCTATACGTTCCCATTCCCCCCCTTTTCTCTATTCCCATCCCCTTCCGCTTCAGCGTCCTCTTCCCCATCCCCCGATTGCCATCCCCCCTCCCTTCCCAGGGTGTACACAGTGCAGCAGCCAGCAGCGTCCATCACTCTGATCCAATCCGCTTCCCTCTTTCTCTCCTTCTCCCTCTGGTCACCCTTGCCCCTATTCACCCAGGTTTGCATACTTCATTCATCCAGTAGCATTCTTCCCCTGCTGCCCCTACACTGACACATGATCACCGATCACTCATATCGACACTGAGGTCAGTAGTGCCTTGTATCAAACTTACCTCTACCGAATCAGGTCTGTGCTCTCATTTGTTGCCTGGTGCGCCACCACTGCCATTGGCACCCCATTGTCTCTTGTGTCCACCCTTCCAGTGCGGAGGAGACACTCCCTTGATCTCACTGCCCCTTGATTTCACCGCCCCTTCATCCCATTACCCCATGATCCCACCACCCCATCACCCCTTTAACCCATCCCCCATCATCCCATCTTCTCCCCACCATGCCCTTGCATTGGCTCTGGGCTCTCGCAGCGATGGTTGGTGTGAAACAGCTTTGGCAGCTCACTGTCTGCCCTGCCCCCTCATGTGCCCAACTCCCTCACCTGCATGATGCACGAGTAATGGCGTGAGGATAAAAACCACATGAGCCCCAGGTGTTATGGTCGTCTCATGCCTGCTGTGCCACCCCTCTTTCCCTCCTCCTTCCCCCCCCTTTCATTTTTTCGAGCGCTGATTTCTTTTCTGCCTCCCCACCTTCTTTCTATCGACCTTGCTCTAACAGGGTGGCAAAGTTTCAGCTGGGGGCTCATGTGTCGCATGCCTACTGCTGTTCATCTCATCAACCGTACGAGACTAGCCAAGATGCCGGTCAGATGGACAATAGATATGCTGCCTAATGTACTACCGGTACTACTTAGGTCACTGGGTTATGAACTGAAACAAAGCCACCCTGACCTTGGAAGGAATAGGGCCGCTTGTAGGTCCAAGCTCATTTAACACATTTGTTTATATTTTTAGCTAATTCGATAAATACGGTGTGTGTTTATCAAGTAAAACCGCACAGCATTGGCAACCCCCCTCAATACATTCTTTCAGTCATTCAGAGAGGGCAGCTTTATCATAGTATTGCAATATAAAGTACCCTCTATTGTAAAAAAATCACTGTATCCAATCCTGCACCAGCCAATATGGTTCTATCTGCCTGCCTGACCTTCCATTCGCGCTGACTGAAGCGTTGAAAGGCGTCGCACATTTTCAACGCGTTCGTTTGCTGCTGTATTTCCGTGGTTTCCCAAGCCAGGAGGTCAGGCCTTAGCTACTTTGACTCGCGTCTCTCAACCCACCCGATAATTAGCTCTTACTAGTCTTAGACTCGCCTAGAAGTAGCCATTGACTTTTCGTAACATTCCTAACTCTCACCGCCAGCGTCTTTTACACCGACTTCACCCCAACTTCTCTAAACCAGAGCGACAAGTACAGCAGGAGACCATCTCTCGACACTACATCCATTGCAGCACAACATCGACCATGGCATTCAGAGCGATCGTCCTCTCATGCGTCCTCCTCCTCGTGTCGACGTCTGCCTTGGCGCAGCGTGGTCCGCCTGTCGGAGGTCCTCCCGGCGGGAATTTGACGGCCGATGTCGGCGCGCGGCTCGCCAACTGCTCCGCGGATCAGAAGATCCTTGACGGCCGATTCCACCTCGCCGTCTTCAAGTAGGCCTCGCTGCCTTCCTTTTTGTCGCATAGCATCACCAGAAATCCCTAATCTGTTGTGCGCTTCCCCATTTCGTTTCCAGTCGCAAGAGTTTAGCACGAAAATTGGTTTCCGCACGATTTCTTCAACTGATAGCTTGTGCGGAATCTTCGAATCGTCGCGCGCTGATTGCGTGTTCCCCTTTCCCTCACCTGCCCTATTTATCTTCGCGCCCTCTCTCAGAAACGCCACCGGCAATTACAATCTGCTCGTCGAGGCGCTCCTGGTGGACGCGGCGGGCAGTCCGCCCGACTCGCTCGCGATCGTGAAAGGCGCCGTGTGCGACACCGCCGCGACGGGCGTGCTCGCTCTGCCGCTCGCCGCGACAAATTGGCAGCAGCGCGCGGGGTGGTGGCTGCTGCACGCGGAGGCGCGCCTCGACGCGTTCCTGGAGAACGCGGACGCCGCCACCGTCGACGCGCTGCTCGCCGTGCTCCCGACCGCCTCGCCTCCGCCCACCAGTGGTGGCGGGCGCAACGGCGCAGGCAACGCTGGCGGAGGCAGCGCGGGGGCCGCGCGGAACGGGCAGGGCGGGAGGCGCATGGGGCGGGAGCTGCTGATGCGTGCATTCGGCCGCGCTGCCAGGCAGGGGGGACAGAAGCAGGGGGGGCAGCAGCAGGGGGGGCAGCAGCAGCAGGGGGGAGCACAGCAACCGCCTGCAGGTGGCTTTTCAGGTGGCTTTCCAGGTGGCGATGGCGGAGTGAACGGCACGGTGAGCGGGTATGCTGTGCTGGCGGGCAGCAACGCAGCAGGTGTGACGTGGGGCGGGCAGCTCATGGGTGCCAAGATGCCCGCCGCTGCTGTTTAATGCATCCCTGCCGTGCTGCTGCTGCTGCTGCTGCTGCTGCTTGATTAGTCGATGGCTGATAGAGTTGAGTTGTGTAAACCCAGGCTGATGCGGGTTGAAAGCACTGCTGCTTGTTGCATCAGTGCCGCGAGGATGCTTGTGGTGTCAGCTGGGTTCATGATGAACAAGCGCATGCAGGTTGCTGGCATTGCAGCTGACGGCTGCTCCAGTCGTGGTTGTGATTGTCTTGAGGGCTTCTCAGCCGTGTGTGTCTGGATAGATGTGCTTAGATTCGTGCGGAGTAGTTAGATTAGGTGAAAGCATCAGGGGCAGGAATGCTGGCAAGGCATCAGGGGACACCAGCTGACTTGCCAGTCTTCCTACCCCTGATTGTTCCTCTGATGCTGTTCATTGCATTCAGTATTATTTGTGTCTGCGTGTCTTTGCAATCTCAAGTTAATCACTGTTTCCCTTCCTGTCAGTCATGTTTTGGGATAGCAGTAGTTACCGCCTGAAGCTAGAGATTAACAGAGCTACTCAAGCCGCTTTCTGTCAGCAGCAAGTCGCTTGAGGCAGGAGCAGACAATCCTTTGTAAGCATAATCAGTTCTCCATACAGCGATTCCAGCCATGGTGAGATCGTGTGCTCTATCCAGCCAGCCAGCCAGCACGAGGGCATGTGACGGGGGGAGGAAGCATTGCGCGGATAAGGGAGGGAGGGACACCTCTAGCTGTAGGCGCAGAGAAGGGCGTGCCACGTGGCGTGGTGATATTGGTTGTCGTGTTCCTGGACCTGTTTGCAGTGGGCATGTCCATGTCGCTTGTTACGCCGCTGATTAAGGAGCTAGGTACGATGCCCTTTCCCCTTGCCCCAATCCCTTTGCCCGTTCCTTTTGCCCCTCCCCTTTGCCCCTCCTGTTTGCCCCTCCCCTTTGTCCATCCCCTTTGCCCCTTCCTTTTGCCCCTTCACTTTGCCCCTCCGATTTGCCCCTTCGATTTGCCCCTTCCCCTTACCCCTTCCTTTGCCCCTCCCATCTGTACCCCCCCCCCCCGTCCCTCCCACGTGCCCCTTCTCATTTCCCCTTCCCCCTGTCCCCCCCCTATCCCACCCAGTGCGCCTTTCCTTCGCCTATTTCCCATTGCCCCACCTATCTGCCCCTCAACATGCGGCCCTCCCCCCTGCCCCTTCGCCTGACCCTTCCCTTTTTCCCCACCCCCCTGCCCCTCAACCTGCGCTCTCTCTACTCTTCCTCCCCTTTTCGCTTCTCTACTCTTCGTTTCATGCATGAGCCAATTCGCTTGGTGCAGATGGAGTTTCCCCTGGCATAATGGATTCAATCTCCTTCAGAACTGTTTTTTAACTTCCTTGCAGTTTAATTTATAGCCCCCTTGAAACCTCCCTATTGCTGCTGGTGCAGAGAACTTGTGTCACTGTAAGAGAAGGAGGGCAGGGGCGAGCTGCTTGTTACTACTGGGGAACAACAACAGTGTAAGGGTGAGAGAAGAATGACACAGCACGTGACTTGTAGTTGCTACTGAGCTGATCTCAAAACAAAACAGATTCTGTGCACTCTCCCCTTGGCTCTTGTGCCCACTCCTGCATATATTAGATTCTGCTCAACTCATGTTCCTGCTTAGCCTGGTTTCACATAAATACATTGTACTCATTTCTCAACTCTCCCTTGCATGTATGAGTTGATTCAGGTGGTTTGATGGTGTTTGGTGTGATGGATTCAGCCTTTTCAAACCCTTCTCTTAACCTCCTTGACACTGCCTCTGAACCCCCTTTGAACCTCCTTCGAAACCCTAACCTCCCTCACAACTTCCTGTTCAACGTCTTTGCCATCTCTCCCCATCCCTTTGAATCGTGGTCGGCCCATTCCTTCAGGTGATGGCAGCACCAAGCACAGCATGAATGCACTCAACTCAAGCCATATGGGGCCGAACACACCACCGCCCCGGCAACAGAGCCGTGGAGCTTGGCAGGTGAGACAAGTTCCCAAGCAGGAGCTAGGCAGCGGGTGTGGATGGGCAGTGGGTGTGGATGAGCAACGTACCTTTGCTCCCTCTCCTTCCCGTTTCTCTTCTCATTCCCCCTCCCCTACTTCTCCCCAGACCCCAGTTTCCAACCCCAACGTTAGGCTCTGCCATGGCTGGTCTCGCCACTCGTCCCCTACAATCGCATCGCACGCATCCAATTGGAATGGTTGGGCCTGTGGTGTGCGAGTGTCGGCATCACCTCGCCGAGATGACGCCTTGTCGAGATGATGCCTTGCCAAGATGATGCCTCGCCAAGATGATGCTTCGCACCCGCCTCTGCACCACCGCCAGCAATGCTGCGGAAAAAGTAATGATTGTCCCCCTAGCTGCGCACTTGCGTTTCCTTCAACCCCACTTGTCCCTTGCGTGCGTGCATGCTTGCCTGCCATGTGACTCCTGCCTGCCGGAACCATCGTGGATTCTGAATTGTCCTTAGAAACCATCACTTGTCGTCCTCCTGCCTGAGCCCTTATGCTATCCTTCCCACCACGGTGCTGCTCCCTTCCCTCCTTCGCTGTTCCCTCCCTCTTCCAACTCCCTCCCCCCCCCTCCCCCCCCGCTCTGCACCTAAAATTCCCAGCTGATTTTTGTCTGCCATGGCACTCACTCCCACCACTTCTCTCAGCTTCTGATACTGTTTCGCACGTTTTGTCCTCACTTGGTTTTGTAAAAATTTCAAGATTCCTCTAAAGTGATTCAAGCACTGTTCCTTTCCCCTCCTTTCTCCTCCCCCATCTTTCCAGCTCCGCACCTGCTTCCCCTACACCCACGCACGGATTCTCCGACTCCCGTCGACACGGGCGCACTGTTCGCATGCAACCTGTGAGCTGTTGATGTGGCTGCTGGGTGGCTCTTGGTGGTGCTGTTGCTCACAGACGAGCCAAGGGGAGAGGTTTGGTGATTGTGTGGATGGAGCAGTGAGCTTCCTGCATGATACTATAAAGTCGCTAGTGGGTTGGTTCGCGTGTGGCGCAAGGCTCAGCCAAGTTGCTGGGTGCTCTGAAGCATATTATGTTTTCGTCAAGAACAAGCACCGGGAGGGAGAGATTCGTGGTGTGAGGAAGGAGGCGGGCTGTATAATGGGTCTCTGCTGCTGTTGTTCAGTGCTGCTGTTCACGGGTACGAGGAACGTGGGCTAATCATGGGTCACCAGTGGGTCAGTAGCAGGTCACATTCACACTTGACTCTCAGGTCACTCTCAGGTGTTTTCCAGGTGACTTGGAGAGGAAGGCTGGAGGGGACAGGGTGAGGTTGGAGGGGCTGTGGATGAGAGAAGTCGCCTCGCCACTGATGGCATGATTCGTAGGCTGCCTGGTGGTGATGTTGGCGTGACGAAGGAGGGCGAGAGGCATTGGCGGCAGCCGTGGGGAGTTTGGAGAGGAGAACGGGAAGGGGGGCGAAGGGTTGGTGAAGGGGGGGCTGCTGATGAGCTGGCGGCCCACTGAGCGACGACCTGAGGGGTGGAGATGTGTACGCGGGAGATTCACTCAGGAGAAAAGTGGGGAAGATTTAAAGAAAGGTGTTTCTTAGGTCACGCGCACGTGACCCTCAGGTCACTCTCAGCAGGTGACTTGGAGAGGAAGGCTGGAGGTCACTGATGCCATGAATCGTAGGCTGCCTGGTGGTGATGCTGCCACATGCAACCTCGATGGAGAGGTCCTCCACGCAAGCACGCTCAATATTGTCACCCTTACTTCCCCCTTTCTAAATTAGGTCCTGTGTGCAAGTGGTGGGGGCACGTGGTGTAGGGGGATGGGGGCACGTGGTGTAGGGGGGTGGGGGCACGTGGTGTAGGGGGATGGGGGCACGTGGTGTAGGGGAGTGGGGGCACGTGGTGTAGGGGGGTGGGGGCACGTGGTGTAGGGGGGTGGGGGCACGTGGTGCAGGAGGGTGGGGTGGGCCACACGTGGGTGCGACACCCACCTACCCTACCATTTTCCATTCAACCCCAACATGCCTTATCTGGTAGGCGCAAGGCCGTAATCGCCTCCCTTGTAACAGAGAGCTGTGGCTAAAAAACGATTTGTGTTTAGGCAACTTTTCAGGAGTGTGCTCTGTCAGGTCTTACAATTCATCTTCCTTGCTTTCCCACCTTTCCACCTCCCTACCTTGCTTATCATCACCTCTCCCTCTCTGCATGACCTATTTAGCAGGCGCAAGGCCAAGATCACCACTCTTATGACGTCTCTTGTTGAGGCCTTGGCGGGTTCTCGGGCACTGTGCTCTGCCTCTTACCGGTATGACCGATCACGTATCCTTGCCCCCCGCAACAGCTAGGAGCTCTCTCCACTCAGTTATGGAGATTTGCGCGCGCATGGATGTATAGTGAGTGGCAGTCTGCTGCTACTGTTCGCGAAGATATCTGAACATCGCAAGTCTTCCTTCTTTTTCCCCAAAAGTGGCGGCATGTTCCCGTTGTTTCAACTGACGGTTTTCTGGGCAAGAACCTCGTTTCAGATTGCATCTGCTGGATGTGTGTTGATTTGGAAATTCAGAGTGGCCCACATATTCACCCCTGTCTTATGCCATCCATTCCAAGAAACAGAGTACCTCCAAAGGTATACCGGTACCTCCTGAATATTTTTCACATGCTATTGTCACTGGTGCAGATCTTGAAATGATGTGTATTTTCTACAATCAATGCTATACAAACAACATCCCATCATGCAAAGTACAGTACCTTTGTTCTCTATTCTCTCATTCTACTCTTGCAGCCGGAGCCAGGCAGTCCAGTCTCAACTCATGCAAATGGTCTCACCCAAAAAGCAATGCACCTGCTGCTGTCCAACTGCACAGCACGAGCCACAAAACCAGTCTCCCAACTCTCTGTAAGATGCAAGTTGAGCCGTGCACAACCACCATTCCATGCCTCACTCCTCCGTAGACATGCCTCCCCTCATTCTTCACGCCCCCTGCCTCCACGCCTCTCCTCAGTCTCCCCTAGACTTTCATAGCCATCTCCTCCCTCACCTCACTTCCCTTTCCACCCGACCTGCCTATCCGCCTGCGTAGATCATCTTTCATAAGTTTACCCCCTGCAGAAGGCCAGAGATGTGCCAGCCTAGTAAGGGCAGTCAGCTGCTGCAGCCCATCGTCCGTGACTGCCGTGCCATCCAGAGAAAGTTTCGCAAGTCCTGTCAGCCTCCCCACATGCGCCATGCCAGCATCTGTCACACCCTCGCACCCTGAAATCCCCAGAACTTTGAGAGAAGAAAGGCAAGTCAAGTGCGACAGACCAGCATCGGTCACCTTGGTCCCATGGAGATAGAGGTACTTCAGACTGGCCACGGACCCAATGCCTTCCAAGGCACTGTCCGAGGCGTCTGTCGATTTCAGGTCTAGCACCTCCAGCCGTGGCAGCCTGTAGAGGTGCTTGATGCCCTCTGCAGTGAAGCATGAGCTAGAGGTCAAGTCAACTTTCTTCAGATGCGACATTGTGGACACAAGGTGAAGGATGACGTCTGAGAGGCCATTGAGATAGCTCAGGTTCAGATTGGTCTCTTCTGATGCTGACTTTATAGCCTGGGGGAATGAGCGGGTAGAGAGGGCATTTATGACAGGGTTTATTGCAGTGAAAAGAAAGCAATATCACGCAATTGCATGTCAATGAAACACATTGCACACCCTCCAAAAGCTAACTCGCTGCACCCACTCACCTCCAAAGCTTTCTTCCGATCGCCTTCACTGCGCTTGATTTCCACCTCAATATTCATCTTCAGATCTTGTGTCATCTGCCATTCCTTGCATGCTGCCAATTCATCCATGGCATGTGGCCAATTCAGCTCCTGCACCTCCCTCCTCCTCTCTTCCCTCTCCCTTGCCAACTCTGCTCTCATTTCATCATGTAAATTACGAGCCTCCTCTCTCAGCTCACTCATATCCAATTCTCCTCTTCTTTCAGCCATATCACATTTCTCTCTAAGATTGCTCAAGCCCTCTGCTTGTCTTTTCTCCGCCTCGTCCAACTGAGATTTCACAAAGTCTTTCTGCCCCCCCAATTTTCTTGTCAACACTGCCAATTCCTCCCTCAAACCACTCAACTCCCTCATGTCCTCCACTCTTTGCATCTCAGCCTCCTCCAACTCCCTCCTTGTATCTTCCAGCTGCACTCCAAACGCTCTCAATCTCATCTCCATCTCCTCTTTCCACTTGTGGCCTCCGACCATTCTTGCGGTGACTGTCCTAACTGCTGCACCCGCTCTCTGCACCCCTGAATACGCATGCTTCCTACACATTGCAGCCAAGCATGGATATGGTTGGGTGCAGGCAGATGGAGAAAATGGAGTGGAGTGGATCACTAGAAAACAATTTGAGGGAAGCATAGTAAGAGCAACAAGGCCTTGCAATCAGACGAGCATTATGACACACAAAGGAGACATGTGGAGCCCAAAGGGAAACATGCCAGGTTCAGGAACTACAGAAGCACATGAGACGAGAACAAGGGTCAGAGGGCACGAGATGAGGACAATACTAGTAAGCAAAAGCGCTTTAACATTGTTAGATCCACAAGACATGTTGGATGCGTGAGGTGAGGACATGGTGATGCACGATACAGGAGGATGCGATTGACCATGATGAGGTTGGGCATGCTCACATGGCGTTGTGCAGCAGCGGGAAGATTCCACGTGGCTGCAGCATGGTGAGGACGAGAGGGAGAGTGGAGGAGAGAGAAGGATGAGAGACGGGAGAGTGACGTGCAGCAGCATGGAAAGCAGGAGTGAGCGCACAAAGGTGAGGTGGTGCAAAAGAAGTCAGAGGGCAAAAGATTAGCACGAAGACAAGCTACAGTGGTGGAGGGTAGAGCGCATGGCATGGCATACCATGAGGCACTTGCTTGCACTCTTCAGCTTCATCAGCCCAGCCGCCACAGCCAAGCCCTGCTGATGCACCCATGCTGTGACGTTCGTGTGGGTCACGTCTTTCCACCACAGCGGTGAGAGCTGCACGGTGCAGGAGCACCGCCCTGGATAAAGTAGCAGCACAGCAGAGGCACCGTACCGGGAGTGTGAGCAGGTGGGTGGACCTCGTGGGCTGACCTTGTGGGCTGACCTCGTGGGCTGACCTTGTGGGCTGACCTCGTGGGCTGACCTTGTGGGCTGACCTCGTGGGCTGACTCGTGGCAGCAGCGAGCTGCCAGCTGCGAGTGAGGCGCTTCGTCGGAGGGTCACAAGAAGTGGCAGGCGGCAGCAACGAGGTTCGAGAGGCACTGCAGGCACTGAAGCGAGGAATCGATGGCGGATGCAGAGGCTACAAGTGGTACGAAGGTGCGATCATGAGTTGAAGGCCAGGAAGCGAAGAGCAAGGAAATGAATGCCGTGCAGTTGGAGCTGCGATTGAAGAGAAGGTGCAAGAGACGGGCGGAGGAAGAGGATGGGGAGCGGAGCAGGAGGATGTGTGCGATGCGCGCATTGCGGTTGCGAAATGCCCCACTCGCGTTGCTCGCGCCCATCTCTCGCCCAACTCTCGCTTTCACGGAGGACGGCATCGCATTCATCCTGCAAGCAATCGCAGCATTGCAGCGCAAACGGCGGCATGCATTACTGGAGCACGCCACCCTCCCTTGCGCCCGTCGCCATTCCGCCGTGCATGTTTTCGTTCGGTCGTGTTCGCACCGCGAGAACGAGTAGCTTTGCATTTCATGAACGGATTCATGGAATAACTTGGCCATCACCATTCTGGACGTTCGCCCATGACTGTTCACGACATTCCGTTCGCATTCGCGAGCGCATCGAAGCAATCTGGTGCGTGCCTGCGCCGGGGAGCGTCGCGGCATCGTGAGGCTGATGACGTAATCTACAAAATCCGACGTTGTAGATCGCGAATTCGGCTGTGACAAGCAAGCAGACGGGGAGGCGTGGAGCGAGCATGTCCAATAGCTGGAGGTGAGCGCGGCGAGCTCCAGTCTCCACGCCTTGGAATCAGCGTGAGTCAGGGGAAGAAGAGGCGTGGAAGGGATGGAGCGGAGGTGTGCGAGGGGATGGAGGCGTGGGTTGGATCTGGATGCGCGAACTTCGTTCAAGATGCTCTGCTTTCGCCAGCACGTGTAACCTGAAACAACGACCCAAAGTATCTCGTTACTGCATATTCTTTTACAATCTACAAAGATGAGGCACTTCTCACTTCATCAGTAAAACTGTTTCTACGTTGCCTTCCTGGGTGCACGGAAGCCCGTTCGTCGACTTTCGCAAGCTTGTCTCGCCGATTTCGTCGTCCACGCGACACTCCCCACGCATCTGGTTTTCTAGCCCGTAAGAACCTTCGCAAAGATAGTACTGTAGTAGTACCTCGCGAACAGCCAGAACTCTGCTCCTCTAGTCTGCATTTGACAGCCGTCAGTGTTGCCACGTGGCATGATAACGAGCGCGTCGAACGAGTGGATATGATCGCCACACGCAGCTTCAAGAGTTCGCCGTTTTATCTCACTGCCGTTCAAGATTGAACAGCGTCGCAGCGCGCTTCGGGACCCATCCACCCCTCTTCGCGAGACCCCTACGCCTTCAGTTATTCGCCTCGCCCCGATGTCGACTCTACAGTGCCTGTCGCGGTAAGCTCGCCGTACTCAGGTCGCGCTCATCAACCTGAGCCAGGCGACGCGTGCGGAAGGGGAAACGCGGCATTCACGCGTTAAGTTCCAAAAGCGGCAATCTCGGCAGTAACGAAGGGGTGTAGTAGCATGATGTGGCGCAGCTTGAGATGGTGGAATGGGCCGTGCGATAGCGATCGAAGGACCAAGCATTCCAGACCGCGTGTCGCCGCAACATAGCAGGCACCTTCCTTTTTCTTTTCAACCCGCTGACGTCTCTCGTCCCCGCTTTTCCTTCCACATCAACTGCAACCACCACCGTCACCACAATCACCGCCACTGGCGGTGGCACTGCTGCGAGTACCACTCCTGCCGTCCCCGAATTGCCACCACAGAAAGTGCATTCGGAAATGGCGCAGCAGCAGGGTTCCAGGGACGCGTGGGGACGGTTCAGCTGTTTCTGAGGCGGTAGCAGGAGCAGGAGGTAGGCCAGCGGGAGAAGGAAGAGGCAGTGCCTGGGAAAAAACGAGGACTAGGAAGGCAGGGATAGAAGAGCGAGGCAGCAGGGAAGCTAGCTGGGGAAAGAAGAGCGAGGCCTCTCTCCGCATCTTCTCTCTTTTTCCTTCTATTCCCCGCCCCACCAACGTTCCAGTCCCAGCGATCTATTACAAGTATGCCACAACACACTTGGCCTCAGCTCGAAGCCAAGCATTCCAGACCAAGTGTCACCGCACCCTGCGTGCGCTGTTTCTTTCCAACCCATTGTCGTCTCTCCTGCTGCACGATCACCGCCACACCTCTGCTGCTAGTATTCCTGCCGTCCCCAGTCTCTTCTTCCCCAGTTGTCACCCGCCCCTGGAAGTGCTAGCGAAAAGGGGGCAGCAGCAGATTCAAGGGATGCATGCAGGTGCACGTGGGGACGGTTCAGCAGTTTCTGAGAAGGTAGCAGGAACAGGAGATAGGTAAGAGGCATGGCTTGGGAGGCCGCAAAAGAGGAGCAAGGAGCAAAAGCAGAACGAGCAACATCACTGGGAGGTGGAGTGAGCAGCATCCCTGCAAGACATGCTGATTACATGGGAGTCACAGATGAAGCTGCAGTCGATGCGAGTGTCACGTTAACGCAACGCAATGAGGGACCGCAGAGGCAGAGGCTGGCAAAACAGCAGCAGGTATCAAGCTGTCTTACAACGAAGCACATGGTGGTGGTGATGCTGCTGATGGGGTGGTGAGGCTGGCGAGCACCGCAGTGGGCAGGCTGCACGTGGCCCTACAGGACTATGCAATGTTCAACTCAATGGCATTCATGAGCGATCCAAGGTAACTCTTATTCTCTGGCGAAACGATGCAGGGAGTTTTGGTGTTCAAGCCTTCAAGGACATGTCATCTATGAGAGATCCGATCCCATTGTCCCCTCTCCCGTCCCCTCTCTTTCTCCCCCCAATCCCCCTCTTTCCTTCACCCGTTTCTTCTTTTTCACCGTCAACCATTGGCTCGTTCTCAGACTCACTGTTTGAGCTGCTTCTCCTTCCGCCTTTCCTTGCTTCATCCCTCCCTCCCACCAACACCCCCCCTACTGTCGCGCATCATCCCCTCTACACCCGATAGTGTTACATATAAGCCACCAGCTTTGGAAATGCACCCCGGCTGCACTCCTGCCCTCCAGCACGCCATGGCTCTCAGGTGCCTCTCACCTGCGCTCGCCCCCAAGTTTCAACCGGACGGGGAGAGATGTGGAGAGGAATAGGTGTGGGTGGGGCTGAAGGTGGCGGAGGGACGCGAGGTGGTGGTGGTTTGGGGTTACAGCAAGAGAGGCAGGGAGCTATGCACGTGCACTGTATGGGGTATGGTACATATGATACATATGATACACATGATACATATGATACATGATCATGGTTTGGGCCGTGGGCCGGGCTGTGGCGGGTTTTCCTAAGTGTCGGCCCGCGTTGGGCTGGCCCGCCCGGCCCAGCACGCCGGGCCGGACGTGGGCCGAGTTGCAGCCCGGGAGTTTCTGGCCTGTTGCGACTCGCGACCCATGTCCAACGAGGGGTGTGGGTGCGAGCAACAAGGGGCCGGGCTAGGTAGCGACCCATGCCAGGCTGAGATTTTGAACCATCGGCCCGCGTTGGGCTGGCCCGGCCAGCACGCCGGGCCGGACGTGGGCTGATTCGCGGTTTCTGTGGTCGGGCCGGGCCGGATCCGGGCCAGAATTCGGCCCGAAGCGGGCAGGTCAGTGTGAGTGACTCGGTGATGCTCGCGAGCGAGCTGCGCGCTCCGCATGTCACATTTTGTGGGCACAGCAAGGGGGGGTTGTGTCTTCAAGCAGTGGGGAGTGTAGGCGTGAGCAATGTGGGGTGAGTGGGTGGGAGAGAGTAGGGGGGGTGTTTGGGCCTGAAAAGGGAGGGTTTGTGGGCGCGAGCAGGCGGGGTGTGTGGGCGTGAGCAGGGAGCATGTGGGCGCGAGCAGGGGGGATGTGGGCGCGAGCAGGGGGGATGTGGGCGCGAGCAAGAGGGGTGTGGGCGTGAGCAAGGGGGGGTTTGGAGTGGGCGCGGGCAGGGGGGGGGGTGTGGGAGAGAGAAAGGAGGGTGGGCGAGCAGGGACGGGTGTGGGCGTGGCGTGGGCAAGGGGGGTTGTGGGAGCGAGTAGGGAGGGGTGAGGGCGTAGTCAGGGAGGGGTGTGGGCGTAGGCAAGGGGGGTTGTGGGAGCGAGTAGGGAGGGGTGAGGGCGTGGGCAGGGAGGGGTGTGGGCGTAGGCAAGGGGGGTTGTGGGCTGTGCAAGGGGTTGTGTGGGCCGTGCAAGGGGTTGTGTGGGGGGTGCAAGGGGTTGTGTGGGCCGTGCAAGGGGTTGTGTGGGGGGTGCAAGGGGTTGTGTGGGCCGTGCAAGGGGTTGTGTGGGCCGTGCAAGGGGTTGTGTGGGCCGTGCAAGGGGTTGTGTGGGGGTTGTGTGGGCCGTGCAAGGGGTTGTGTGGGCCGTGCAAGGGGTTGTGTGGGCCGTGCAAGGGGTTGTGTGGGCCGTGCAAGGGGTTGTGTGGGCGCGAGCAAGGGGGATGTGTGTGGGAGCAATGGGGGTGGGTGTGAGTGCGAGCAGATTTGGCCTGGCCATGAGCACGGGCCGAACCATGGGCATAGCAAGCCGGCCCAGGCCCGGCCCGTGCGCATGCCTGTTGCTCTCGGGTGACCCCGCCTATGCCTGTGCCAAGCATATATGCCGTACCCCACGGATAGAGTAGCAATAAGACTGTTGCGGCCTTGCGTTATCCCTTCCCCCTCCCCTGTGTTCTCCGTTCCCCCTTCTCACACTCAGCTTATGTGCACTGGCAGTGTGTTTGTGGCCCCATGCCTGCCTGCCTCCATCGTTGTCCTTGATTCATTGCCTCTTCCCTCTCCCCCCCCCCCTTCTTCCCTCTCGTCCTTCCTCACGGTCCCTCTTCCTGTCTCACTCAGTTAAGTGCGTTGCAGACAGTGTGTGTGTGCTCATGCCTGCGTTCATGTGCTCATGCCTGCGTTCATGTGCTCATGCCTGCGTCCCTGGCTGCCCTGCTTTTGTACGCCCCCTCACCCCTTCCCTCTTCCTTCCCGCCCTCCCCCCTCTCTTATACAGCTAGTGTGTGTTGACTCTGACTGTGGGGTTGTGGGCACGTGGCATGGTACGGCATGGCCGAGCTGCCAAGACAGGAATGTCAGCCGAGGAGAGAACCAGCAGAGGCGCTAAGAAGCAGCGGAGCCCGAGCATCGAATATGGCAAATACGAGCCACACGATTCGCATGGTGAGGTGAGTGGTTGGGTGGGTGGGTGAGTGGTATGTGTGCACGTGCATGCTGGGTGTATGTGCATGGTGTGTGCATATGCATGGTGTGTGCATGTGCATGGTGTGTGCATGTGCATGGTGTGTGCATGTGCATGGTGTGTGCATATGCATGGTGTGTGCATGTGCATGGTGTGTGCATGTGCATGGTGTGTGCATGTGCATGGTGTGTGCGTGGGTTCAGGTGCATGGTATGGTGTGTGCATGGCGTGTGTGGGCATATGGCACCAATGCATGGTTGATTTGGGGGTGCATACCAGTCCTTTTGTACACCAGCCAACTACCCCTTCCCCTCATCTTTACCTCCCCTTTCCCCCCCTTTCTCTCTTCTTCCCCTCTGCTTCCTCTCCCTTTCCAAATACCATGTTTATGCGCTATCCCTAATGTAAATCTCTTCTGTTATTTCCTAATAGGGTAAAGTTCCCCTTCTTGTCCGCTTCCCTTTTCCCTTCCCTTTGCCCCCGTCCCATCACCCCAGCCTCGCCCTCTCCCCTACTCCCCGCCCCTAACCCTCTCCTCCCCCTCTCCCCCCCCCCTCCCCCCCAACACTCCCCTTTCCCTCCCCTTCCCCTCTCCTCCTCCTCCGTTTTCCCTCCCCCCTCCCCGTTTCCCCTTGTCCTCCCCTTCCCCCCCCTTTTCCGCGCATCACATGCACCTGAATCAGGTCAGACCTTGACATCATCGACAGCCAGTCGCTGCCTCTGGAGGGCGTGAATACTCTCTTCCCCCTTCCCTCTGGAGGGCGTGAATACTCTCTTCCCCCTTCCCTCTGGAGGGCGTGAATACTCTCTTCCCCCTTCCCTCTGGAGGGCGTGAATACTCTCTTCCCCCTTCCCTCTGGAGGGCGTGAATACTCTCTTCCCCCTTCCCTCTGGAGGGCGTGAATACTCTCTTCCCCCTTCCCTCTGGAGGGCGTGAATACTCTCTTCCCCCTTCCCTCTGGAGGGCGTGAATACTCTCTTCCCCCTTCCCTCTGGAGGGCGTGAATACTCTCTTCCCCCTTCCCTCTGGAGGGCGTGAATACTCTCTTCCCCCTTCCCTCCTGCACGAACCCCACCAGCAGCAGCAGCAACAGCAGAGCCATCAACAGCGGCAATGGCAGCCGCAATGGCGGCATCTCCTGCCTCATGCGCCTCCTTTACAAACCAAGACGCTTCCGCCTCCTCTGCTGCCATCAGCCAATCGTTTCTGAACCCACAGCCGCCAGCACGAGCACCACCAGCAGCGGCATCAGCCGCAGTGCTGTCAGCAGCGGCATTGGCAGCATCAGTGGCGCATCTCCCACCTCCTGCTCCTCCTTTCTGGGCCCAAATGGCCTGGCGGGAATGGTGCTGCGTGCGCCTGCAGAACCTGTTGCAGCAGGCAGCGCTGAGGGGCAGTGCAGGCAGATTGTGTCCAGGCTGATTGTGATCATGGGGCTTGGTGCAGAGCAGCATATTCGGAAGAGTTCAGCCGTTCCAAAACATATGCGGTGCATGTACCCTACTATACCTATACCGTACTACACCTGACACGTTTAAGACATGACCCAGCCCAGTGATTATTCACTTGGATGCTTGTTGTTACTAAGCGAGGAAGCCAATGATATGGGTAGTAGTACAAAATAGTGGCCATGAGACGAGGTTGTGATGACAGATGTGGTTATGGAAATTGCGATGAGAATGGCGGTAGCACCAGTGGCGAAGGCAGTAACATACTGTAGATGGCAGTGGTGGTAAACACCACCAGCAGCAGTCAGCCACTGAAGTAATCACCCTCAGCACCATTCCTCCAGGCGTTCAAAACCCTCCCTGGCTCTTACGATTCTATTCATTCTCTGCCTTCTTTGCGCACTGCCCACCTCAGAGTCATCTCATCACATCACAGCTAACGGAACAGCCTAACAAAGAGATGCTACATGCCATAGTACCTTAATGATGCTTACCTATGTGGATATTTTCAGCCCATACACCTCATTGATGCTTCTGGGGAGCACAGACCCATCACTATCCTTCACATGCCCACACTCCTCCACATCCAGCATCCGCAGTGCCTTCACCTCTCTCAAACCCCCCTGGCAATGCCTCCAGCTGCGCATAGCCTGAGAAACAGAGGGATCTGAGCCGCGTGAACTGGGAAAAGGTGGGACACAGGGAGCGGATGGGGCAGCTTGAGATTGACAGCTGGGTCAGGCGGGCAAGCTGGGTAAGAGAGGCAGGCAGATGCTGAAGCTGCTCGCAGTGATTGAGGTGCAGCTCGCGCAACCGGGATAAGGCACCGATGTCATCTGGAAGAGAAGCCAGTTTGGCCGCATCGTAAACCCCCAAGAACGTCAGGTTCTGCAGCGCAGTCACACTCGCTGGCAGCTCCCTCAACTCGCCCGCACTTAGCATCAGCTTCCTCAGCTGCGGCACTGCTGACCCGATATCGGCCGGCAGCCTTTGGACATTCCTCGCGCTCCCAACAATCAGGGTGCGCAGGCGGGAGAGAAACGTCAAGGCGAATGGAAGCTCCTCCGCATCGCCAGCCAAACTCAGCTGCAAATGCTCCAGGTGCGATAGGCTCCTGCTCACAGCGACCCCACATGCCACCGCAACAACGTCCAGGCGAAGCGTTCGAAGCCCCGTCAGCGCGGACATGTCTGGCAGAGCCATGGCCTGCCTGCGACCTCCCCAACTCAGCCATTCAATGGAAGGCGGCAGGACTAGAGGAGGCCGTGTGAGCATGTCACACCAGGCCACCTCCAGCCGCTTGAGCCGTGTCAAGCCGTCCAGCCTTGTGAGCGCTGAGGCCAGATTATGGCAGTGAGCGAGTGAGAGAGCTTCAAGGGCAGTCAGGCACGTGACGGACGCTGGAAGGGCCGTGAGTGGAGGGCAGTATGAGACGTGCAGCTCGCGCAGGTTGCAGAGCGATCCCACCACGCCCTCTGGCAGCTCCTCCACGCCGCACTCGTCCAGCTCAAGCCTTGTCAGCGACGTGATCTCGGATAACGAGGGCGGCAGATGCCAATGCTCGAGGCTATCTCTCACAAGCAGCGTGTGGAGGTTACTCAGGCGGCCTATGTCCGCTGGAAGCGCCACTCGCCCGAGGCAGAGAGTCGTGAGAGCTGTGAGGCAGCAAAAACCTGCTGGCAGCTCGCGGATTGAGTCGCACGAGAGCAGAAAGAAGGTCTCCAGGGAGCTGAGCTGGCAGACGGAGGCAGGCAGGCTCGCCAGTGGCAGATGATCCAGAACCAAAGTTTTCAGGGCAGTCAATCTCCCGATGTTTTCAGGCAGGCAGCGAAATTCGAAGTCGCATTCGATGACTGACAAGGTCTCGAGGTGCTCCAGGGAACAGATTCCCTCGGGCAGCTCCTCGAAGGCCTCGCACCTGGAAACGGTCAGCTCACGCAGACGCGGCAGCAACTCCACAATGCTGTCCGGAAACCGCTTCAAATCTCCGCAGTATGATATCTGCAGCCGTTCAAGACTTGTCACTGGCCAATCCGACAGCAACACGTGGCGAGTGTCCAACGATTTGATCAACGGCAGCTGTGAGATGGCTAAGGCAGCCGAGCCATGAGGAGAAAACGAGGTCCCGGCAGAGAGTGAAAGGCTGGTGATGTTGGGAAGACGACGCACGTTGGCCAGCTGCTCCTCGTTCAACTCCGGGGAGGCGATATGGAGAGTGGTGAGAGAAGCGAGGCTGTCCAGATCTGGAGCTTCTAAGGCGGAGGCGGCTGTTAAAGCCAGGGTGTGTAGACGCGTGAGGTGGAAGAAGGAAGCGGGTAGGTGGACGTCCCGATGGAGGCAGAGCAGTGAAAGCTGCTCCAGCTGAGTGCATCGCTGGAAGAAGCGATCCAGGCCAGCTTCGGTGATGGGGCGCTTATGCTTCGGTCCAACATAGTCCGGATGGTGAGCCATCCCGCGTCCCACGTGAAGAATCTTGAGCTTAGGACACGCTGATGCGAGGTGATTGAGGAAGGTGTCGTCTAGGGTTTCCACGCTGTGATTGCACAGATGGAGATGGTTGAGATTAGGGAAGCACGCGACGGCATGTGAGAGTTCTTGGAGGGCAATGGCATGCTTTCGTTCGACGAGCAGCGTCGAGACGTCACGGTGAGCTACATCGCGCCAGCGACGGCACACAGACGACACAAGGAGGATCTTGGCAGCGCTTGGACCGGCGGAGGGGGACGATACTGAATACGACTCTTCGTCGGGGCTGAAATCTTCATCTAAAACGACCGAGTGAAGGTACAATGGCTTCTCCGACAATGAATGCCGAGACCATAACGCGTCACTGTCGAATTTACGAGGTGTTGACTCTTCACAATGCCATAGAATCCTAGCGAGGACGTCGTCGGGAAGGTCGTTAATATGTGTCGCTGTCTCCATAATTTCCCTAGCAGACGAGATTACTAAGGATCTATAGAAGGACGGAAAGCAGCGACCTTGAAGCCTAGACTGAGTTTGAACGAGGCCTGAAAAAACTTTTGTGACGTTAACATTACTCGTGGCGTGAGTCATCGTCGCGCTGCCTTCCCTTGTACGCAACACAAACGCACCAAAATGGTTTTGCTGTGAGAGGGAGGCAGGGCGATCACGTAAGGGCGGATTCTGTGTCAGGTGTAGGACAGGGACCTGGTCTCGAACCTAAGTGTTTTTGCTGCGATAGGGTATCTGTTTCTTGATTTTGCTGCCATTCGTTTCGCTTCATTTCATTGTGCTTCGAAACCTTGCGTGGTGCAAGGAAATATCAGCGAAACTCTGTCGCATAATATGGTTTCGTTCAACGCCGAACCAAGCACAATTGGTCCAAAGCTGCAGATGCATATTTCATGACGAACTAAGGCGAAACAAGTAACCACCATTTCGAACCGAAACCGTCAAAAGTGTTAGCGCCCTAATATCACCCATGAGTTCAGTGAGGGCGCTGACAGTTGAAGCAAGGTAGGGAGAAAACAGTCGGTGAAGTGTCGTGAGTCGTGACGACGGGTTGCAGCAAGTTGAGTTCATTATAGGCCACCCTAAGCAGCAGCCGTCAGCACAGTAAGCTTCCGCACGCAATATAGTACCGCGGCGATCTGTCTCTCCGGAGACCTGCCTCGCACTCCTCCACTCACTCTCACTCACCACATTAACGCGACCCGGGTTCTCCATTTTCCTGGACTGTCAATTTCGTGTCGCATACGGGACTGCAGGTCCATATGCGTGCTCAATGCTAAAAGCTCAGTGCTTCGCACGCTCGATGCTCAAGCCTTTTCCTCGTGATGGTCGGTAGGCCCACCTCTCCTTCCCAAGCCGCTTACTATGGCTTGCTCGCCGTAAAAGGGAGTCAACGCCGACGTCGCTCATCGGGCTTGACTCCCCTCTCCAGCAGCAGCTGGTGCGCCTCGTCTGACGTGGACAGCTTGCCGCCGCGCTTATCTAGCAGTAGTGGCATTCCCTTTAATGTGCTCTTAACTGACGGCTCACATTCGAAACGGTGCAAGGCGTGCCCCGTGATTACTGCTGCGCCGTTTGCGATCGCCTGCGACGTGACACTCTCTGCTGTCATTCGACGCTTCGCATTTGCGAAAGCAGCTTACAATGTGTCATGCGATGCGAGTGTGGCACCTCCCCTGTCCGCATCAATGGACAGCACGGCGCAGGGCCGTGGCGCTCGCGGGCTTGGCGGCATAGAGGGAGCAGCAGCTGCTCAGGAGCGAGTGGAGGATCGCAGGCGGGGAGCAGAGTGGAGGGACGAACGAAACAGGAAAATTCTCGGTAGCTTCGCAAAAGCGCCGACGGGGGGGGGGGGGGGGGGACATGGCCTCCAAGTCGAGGCGAGCGATAACACACCAGCTGTGCCTTGAAATGAAGATCGTGAGTCAACCGAATGTGACTGCGTCAACATCTCTTCCGCATCCTCTCACTCTTGACCCTGCTGCACTGCACCCCACGTCAGCACCCAGTGCCGCTTCGCCGGCTGCTGCTGCTACTGCTGCCAATCCAATGGCTGCTGGCCGCTGTACATACGCCACGCCACTGCGTGCCATTGGTATTTAAGGATTCGGCAGCAGTAGCAGCAGCAGTCGGCAAAGCGGCACTGGGTGCTGACGTGGGGTGCAGTGCAGCAGGGTCAAGAGTGGTGCAGTGACCAGAGCTGACGAGCGGCCGGCAAAGCGAAGGTGGGGGTTAGACAGAATGGAAGAAAGGAGCAGACAGGAGTGAGACGACGAGGGATGGCGCAGGGGCACAAGCAGGCGGGAGTGGGGCATCGTGAGGCGTGGGCGTGTGAGCATGCTGCACCGGAGCTGGCTGGCACACGTGGGTGACGGGGGGACACCTGCTTGGTGGAGGCGAGCTGCGGAAGGAAAGGACGAGAAGAGAAGGGGTAGGTAGGAAGGTCTCTGCAGCAACGAGCTGTATTGCCGCGTGAGGGAGCACAGCAAGGCATGGGAAAGATGGATGCTCCCCTCACATAACGTGGCGATCAAGAACGGAAGGAGCGGAATGCAAAGACCAAGGGGACTGAGGATGGAACTTTTCAAGAGTGGTAGACCATGTAGGAGGGGGCCTCGAGTCTGGAGTGACGGCTGTTCGGCGAAGCCTTTGCGATGGCAATGGCGATGGTGAGTCGACCTTTTTTTTAGGGGGGGGAGGGGGGGGGGGGGGGGGGGGAAGGTGAAATTGCTCTATACAATGCCACCCCTCTCGGGACTCGTCCCGTTGAATACACGCGGTCGAATTGGAATGGCTGGGCCTGCGATGTGCGAGTGGGGGCATCACCCACGGGTGTCAAGACGGCCAATGGTCGCACCGCACCTCCACCGCCAGCGGCTCCGCTGACGGAAACGTAGTGATTGCCCCCTCGGCTGTGTGTGCGCCTGTGTCTCCTACTCGCCCCCTTGTCGTCCACCTGCCCCAAACTCGAATGGATTCCGAGTCGTATTCCGCCCGCACTGCTCCCTTCCGCTCCTTTTCCTCCCCTCCCCCGCTATCCAGCGCCGCACCTACGTCTCCAACACTGACTTCTGCCCCACTGCTCGGACCCGCGCCCCCACGGCACTGTCTCCCATACTCCTCTCATACACTACTGTGCTGTTCTCTCCTCTCCCTCTCTCCTCTCCCATTCCCACTCCCACCAGCTCCACACCTGCTTCTCCTGCTGCACCGACTCCTGGATTCTGCCCCACATGGACTCCAACCCTTCCAGCGTGGGCGCACTGTTCATTCACAGGCACCCTACGGGCTGCTGACGTGGCGGAGGTGCACGAGTGTTGCGGGCTACTGGGTGTCTCGTGGCGGTGTTGTTCTGCAAGGATGAGCTGAGGTAGGAGGAGAGGAGGTGCGTGGGGCGAGGAAGGAGGTGGGCTGTCATGGGTCACTACTGCTGCTCACTGCTACTGGTCACTGGTGGGTGAAGGAGGTGTGTGTGGGTAGTGCGAGGAAGGTGGGTCACCTATGGGTCAGTCTCAGCTCAGGTCAGTAGTAGGTCACCCTCAGGTCACTCTCAGGTCAGTCAGGTGACTGTCAGGTGATTCAGCTGTGTTTCAGGCTGATCCGCGAGAGTCTTAATGCCATGAGTGTGGTGGTGTTTTTCAAGGTGCCTCCGTGTTTGCTGCATGTTCTTCTGAATGCCATGAATTTGCATGCCCTGTGCCTGTATGCCTTTCCACTTGCCCATCCCCATCCTCATAGCGATCCCCCCTTCCCCAGGTGCATACTGTAGCCAGTAGCGTCCATCACTCGCCGCCTATCCTTCAACCACCTCACTGGTCTCTCTCTCTCGGCCACCCTTCCTCTTATCACCCACCAGGTGTGCATGGTGCAGCCAACAGCGTCCATCAGTCTGCTCCAATCCGCCGATCATGCACCCACCTCCCGGTTTTCTCTCTCTCCCTCTCGCCACCCGTTCCCCCAGCCACCCACCTGGTGTGCATGGTGCAGCCAGCAGCGTCCATCCCCCACCATCTTTGCACTGACATACCGATCAACAATCACTCACCTGTACACAGAGGTGAGTAATGCCTTGTATCGAGGCTGCCTCTGCCAATCAGGTCTGTGCTCTCATTTGTCCCCTGGCGCGCCACCACTGCTATGGGCTCTGCCTCTTGTGTGCACGCTTTTGATGTGGTGGAGGCAGCCTCTTGATCTCATTACTCTCAGGTCACTCTCTCAGGTCACTCTCTCAGGTCACTCTCAGGTCACTCTCTCAGGTCACTCTCAGGTCACTCTCTCAGGTCGCTCCCAGGTCATTCAGCTGTGTTTCAGGTTTCTCTGGTCGAGAAGTGAAAGGCGGCTGATCTGTTAAAGGCTGAATACAGCCCAGCTGAATGCTTTGCAGTGGTGTTTTCAAGCAAGGTGCTGATACTCTGTGCATGATGCTTGCCCTATCGATACCCTGCCGTGGAACTAACAGGGACAGTCTAGAACATCGCTCCTTCCTCCCCCCTCCCTCTTCCCCGTCCCTCAACCCCTTTCCATTGCTCACCACCTCTCTCTCACCCACCTCACTCGCATGTCCCTCTGGTTTCTCCTGAGCTGTTTTGCCGTCAGCTCCCACTGGCAACCCCTCCCCCAATCACTCGTCGCGTTTCCAAACAAAGCTATATTCAGTTTGCCACTTTCCTCCCCCGCCTTCCCTTTGGCTGTCTCACCAGCCCCTCCTACTGCCCCCCTCCATCCGATCACTCTCCATGTGTGTGTGCATAGAGCAACCTTCACTCTCAGTCGTTGTCCCCCCGTCCCCTTGCCCGTCCCCATCCCTATGCCCATCCTCATCGCCATCCCATCCCTGCAGCACAATTAGCAGCACCCGCACCACCACCAGCATCACCGCGGGTGCCAGTGTGATCACTAACACCCACCACCCACCACACCAATGAACAGAGACAGCAGCAAGAGGGGTCCGACATCTGCTCGTCCTTGGCTGGGTCAAAGATTCAACCTCCCTCTCTGTAACAAGCCTCGGGCTCATCGAAACCAGCCGGTGAGTCACATTGCGTTGACCAATGGCTCTGCACTCTCTTTCTGCTTTTGGCTGTGGTGCCACTGATACCTCCACATTCTACTTTCCGTCCTCCCCTCCTACTCCCCCCTCTTACTCTCCCACCCTCTCCTATGCTACTTTCATCCTCTTCTACTCTCTCCTGCAATCCCAGCCGTTCATAAAGGGCCCTAGATGGCCTCCAATGGGGATGTAGCTCAGATGGTAGAGCGCTCGCTTAGCATGCGAGAGGTACGGGGATCGAGACCACGCATCTCCAAATTTTGCGGGGATAGCTCAGTTGGGAGAGCGTCAGACTGAAGATCTGAAGGTCGCGTGTTCGATCCACGCTCACCGCATGCTTTGTCTTTGGCCCACAGCCCATTGTGGTTCGTTGTGCCTGCTTCATGCACAGACTTTTGTGCCTGAACTGGCTTCACTCACACACCATTGTGCCTCTTTTGCTCGCTTCACTGCCTCTTTTGCTCGCTTCACTGCCTCTTTTGCTCGCTTCACTGCCTCTTTTGCTCGCTTCACTGCCTCTTTTGCTCGCCTCACTGCCTCTTTTGCTCGCCTCACTGCCTCTTTTGCTCGCTTCACTCACAGACCCTTTGTGCCTTGCCTTGCTTGCTTGACCCATGCTGTCCAACAGGTGTGCCTGCCTGCATGTGAGCAGCTCACAGCAGTGGAGGTTGCTGCTGCTTGAGCTGCCATGGCCCGGTGCTGCTATGGCTGGCATGGCTACTAGACTAAAATGGATAGATCGGGGTAAACCAGCAAGGTTGAACAATAGGGTTAGACAAGCAGGGGTAGAAAATCAGGGCTATAGGTGCAGGCTAGTTAATGAAGCTAAAGCAGCAGGGCTGAAGCAGCTCTGCTATGGGCGAGACACGGGCTGAACGGGTGGGATGATGCACCGTCTCATTGGGCAGACGATGGTGCCAACGTGGAGGCGAGCAAATCCGCGTGGACTGGATGGCACCTTTGCCACATTGACAAATGAACCGTGTGATCCACATTCCTGAATTACGCCCTCACCTTGTGCGCCCTCACCTCGTGCGCCCTCACCTCGTGCGCCCTCACCTCGTGCGCCCTCACCTCGTGTGCCCTCACCTCGTGCGCCCTCACCTCGTGCGCCCTCACCTCGTGCGCCCTCACCTCGTGCGCCCTCACCTCGTGCGCCCTCACCTCGTGCGCCCTCACCTCGTGCGCCCTCACCTCGTGCGCCCTCACCTCGTGCGCCCTCACCTCGTGCGCCCTCACCTCGTGCGCCCTCACCTCGTGCGCCCTCACCTCGTGCTCCCTCACCTCGTGCGCCCTCACCTCGTGCGCCCTCACCTCGTGCGCCCTCACCTCGTGCGCCCTCACCTCGTGCGCCCTCACCTCGTGCGCCCTCACCTCGTGCGCCCTCACCCACAACCCCTCCCTTCCGGCGTCAATGGCAACGTCCATGAACTAGCCGTGAGTGAGGTGCCCAGCTTATTGCTGCAACACACGGCCTGGCAGCACAGCAGAGCCACAAGAGTAATTGTGCGAGAAGTGGTGCATGCAGGCATGGTGGAGAAGAGCGAGGCAGTAGTAGCCGTGTAAGTGGGCGTTAGCTGCACACTGCTCATTGCATGCTGGACATGTAGAGATTTTATGCTTTACATGAAGATGAGATGCAAGCAAGCGCATGCCAAGGGGTAGGGCGACGTGCCAACACAGAGATGAGAGAAGTTAGGTAGGCGAGGAAATCTGAATCACAGTATATTTCTTCTTCCGTCCATTGTTGCCTTACTCCTTTTGCAACTTTGCCCAGCATGGTGCTTCTGGGCCAGTTTACTGATGGGAGGATGAATGTGGACACTGCTTTCCTGAGTGCAATGCCATCAGCAGCTATTTTCCAGTTCGTCCTCCTCGCTCAGCAGTACGTGACGTTCCTACATCCTTTGCCCACTCGTCACCACTCCCTTTCCCTTCCCACTCCAACAGCACCTTCCCTGGACTACTCTTAAGGAGCCAACTAATTTCTGCGGCACACAGCCTGGCAGCATGGCAGAGCCACAGGCAGCAGCAGCAGCGGCACTCATAGCGGTGAAGCCAGTCAGTGGTGTGTGGGGTCAGGGGGATCGGAGGGAGGGATGGGCGAAAGGAGTGAGGCAGCAGCAGCCACAGTCTGACTCTGACAGCCCACTAATCATGCCGGGCTTTTAGGCGTGTGAAGAATGAAGAGGTGCTGCAGGCACACACTGCGGGCCCTCAATGAGCACGACATCCACCACAGTCTTGCCTGCGCGGGCCTAGGGTGTGTTCCTGACTTAAGATGTATTCCTGGCCTGGTTCCAGGCAGGCAGGAAGCTGATTGCTACCGGGCTGGCCCAAGGTATATTAGCTGCATGATCACCATGCCATTCCTCAGGGCTTCCCAGCTGGGACTACACCAATCTCCCGTCCATCCATAGCTTCTGTGAAAGCATCATCATCGAAAGCATTCGCGGTTCTGAGCCAAGACAAAGGACGTTATTACTAGGGCTCGGAAGACCCTCGTTCTGTGATGTGATGTGATGTGATGTGATGTGATGTGATGTGATGTGATGTGATGTGATGTGATGTGATGTGATGTGATGTGATGTGATGTGATGTGATGCACAGACGCACGTTTGGGTTTGGGGAGGATAGGGATGGCGAAACACAATCAGTCCTTCCGCGTGCTGCTCGTGTGTCACCGCGAGTCGCTCTCATCGTGATGGTGGGCGAATGTGAGCGCACCTCTGCGTCATGGCAGGCAGCAGCTGGAATAAATGCAAGGGGGCTTGCGAACGACCTCTCAGCTGACTTTGCGGGGAGAATGGTGGTCCTCGACACGAAGGTGAGAGGAGCTGCATAGGATGTGAGTGATTGACGGCACCGTGCCCCTGCCACACCCTGCCACACCCTGCCACACCCTGCCACACCCTGCCCCACCAGAATGATGGACGAAATAGAATCGTCCTCTTGAGATCTCATCCATAACCCGTTGATGCTGCTACATCTTCCCCCCTTACTTAAGTCGTGGATGTGACACTGTGTCAGTATGTGCTTAACTTTACACTTCTCAATGTTGTGTTGGGGTGCTTTTCCAACATTCACCCTGAGTTTGCTTAATCAATTTCGTTGTCTCCCCTCCTCCCACTGTAACAGTATCATTTTGCATGCACACCTTTATGTAGCAATCGCTTCGTAACACACATTCCCTCACTGCAATGGCATGTGTCTCCACCACCACCATCATACCTACTGGATTGCTTCACTTCAGAATCTCCACAACAATCCAACCCACTGCCTCCCCCCTCCCCCTGCTAGACACGGGTTTTTCTCACATGCAAACGCTATTTCAACTCGCTTTATCGACAATAATCCCCTCCCATCCTCTTCCAATACCCGTCTCTTCCTTCCAAACCACCTTCACATTTCTCCCTTTCCCCCACCTCCCAAGGACGCGTCCCCTCCCTCGATCGATCCTGCGCAGGATCGATATTTGGCGGGGTTCGAGAAGGTTCTGCTAGTTGTAAAATGTATCAAGCAGGAGTTCAGTGTGGTGGAGGATCAATATTGCACGATCGGTCGAGGGAAGGTACGCGTCCTAATCCCCTCCTCCGCACCCCCCGCACCCCTTCCCACAGCCCTCCAACCTCCCTCTGTTGTTCTGACCCCCTCTCGTTCCATCCCGATCGTTTGTACCACTCCCTCCCTGCCATATCCCCTTTGTACTACCTCATCTCCCACTTCCCAGTTTCTTGAGTTCTCCACTCACCCCGTTTCAATCATCGCATCCTCCACTTCACCCATCACACCCGCTTCCGAATCAACTGTCTTTCCTTTATTGCCATTCACTCTGTAGATGAACCATTTGTTCATCCCCATCTCACGTCATCCTCCTCTGCCCACCATCACCCTCGAATCGGCTCCCCCCAGATCTTAACCAAGCAGCATCATCACCGCTATTGCACCTTCAGAGTCTCAGACAACCCCATGCCGCCCTCCCACAGCAACTGCACCATGACAATCTGCTCCCTCAGTCCCGCCCCCCATGCCCCACTCGCCCTCCTGCATTTCAGTTGAACCACTTAGGCTCCCCATGCCTGCTGCTGCAGCAGCATTGGCAGCGGCCATGGCAAATAAGGTAGGACTTGGGCAGAAGGGGGAAGGGGGAGAGGGTATGCGAGAGTTGTGGAGAAGGGGGTGTAGGAGGGAATCAGGAGCACTCTGCCCAACATGCCCCTCTCGCCCTTCTTCTGTGCTGCTCATTGGATTGTCTCGGGGCTATATTTCACGCTGCCCCTCGCTCCTCCTTCCCCCTCCCCATACACATGCCTCGCCCTCCTTTTTGGAGGTTGGTTAATGCTGGAAACAGAGAGGATCCGCATTCACTCCAATCGCTTCTCAAGTTTGTTCACCCTCAAACACCTTTTCTTCCTCTGCCCTCCCATTATCCGCCCTCAGCTGCTTCTAGCAGTCGCCACCCCATGAAGGCATGGGATGGAGGGTGGTGAGGCTGGTGGAGTGAGGATGGCTAGCATCCCACATCGAAAGGTCTTCAGCGTATAGTTGGGGTGCTCCACATGTGTGCCACATGGGCGGATGGTTGGGGTGCTCCACATGTGTGCCACATGGGCGGATGGTTGGGGTGCTCCACATGTGTGCCACATGGGCGGATGGTTGGGGTGCTCCACATGTGTGCCACATGAGCGGATGGTTGGGGTGCTCCACATGTGTGCCACATGGGCGGATGGTTGGGGTGCTCCACATGTGTGCCACATGAGCAGGCATGCCTGTCGAGACATCCGTGCTCGTGCGTTTCATCCCACACCTCCACACCCCATCCCATACCTCATACATTTTTCTCATCCCACACCTCATCCCAACCCTCATCCCGTACCCCGTCCCATACTATGTATCCCTACGCACGGTCACTTCTCTTCCTATTCTCTTTAGCATCCCTCATACGATGAGGCACAAGTAACCAGCCATGGAAGTACATTGAGTGGGTGGAGTGTGGCTGTGGTAAGGAGGTGCAGATGTGGCAGCAATCATATTCTTTTGTCTTCCCGTATACCGGTACTAACCATGCATTCTGAAGCAGATCAAGTCATAGTGAGAACCATTAATGTGATATAAGACTATTCACATACTACAGGCCTTCAGCCAGGGCCTCAGATTTGTTTTCGGCTAGTCTGAAAAATCAGAGTTGGTACAAAATTCTATGCTGAAAATCAGACAAATTAGCCATTTTATGCCATTTTACACTATAAACTTCATCGTTTTTCCTGTTCCTTTCTAAAAAATGGCTGGAAAATCAGTCCTGGTTCTTAAAACTAGTCTGAAATCTCAGCCTTTTTTTTACCTAAATCAACCTTTTTTCAGTGAAATCTGAGGCCCTGCCTTCAGCATGCCAGTGAAAACGGTAGGTCAATTGGGTGGTTCATGCAGCAGCATGGGTGACTGCTACTACCCTTTCCCATGCAGGCACAGACCCACTTCTGCTTTACAACTGCCGGCGTCCCATGGATCATGCCCTGCCAACCACCTCAGCTAAGGTCATATTTAAAGCCAGCAGCTAAAATAGTGACCCCCCCCCCCCTTTCTAGTGGGTCCACTTGAAATTTCATACTAACTTTGGAATGCTTCTGAAATTCGAAGTGTTGTTCTGTTGTGTTTTTCACACACGTTCGACTTCACAAAAAAAACTACAAAATTCGTCGCAAGCATGCGCAAATACGTCGCAAGTTTGCGACGCCTGACGTGCTGTGTTTCTTCCTTCGGTTTTGGCGGGAACCAATCAGATTTGTTCGATCTGTTCGAACGCTCTCAATGAAACAGTGCAAACTTGTCGGTTTGGTTTGAAAATTGTTTCACTCGACAAGCTCTCTTTCAAGCTGGAGACGGGTTCACTATTTTGCATTTCGGTTTTAAGCTGCTCTGCTGCATATGCATATAGTACATGCCTATGTTTAATACAAATCCAATGCATTGGGCTTTTATTATGATGAGTACAAGTTAGAGCATTCTGAATTTGACAAAGTGGAGCATGTTCTAGCTTGCACACAGCATCAGGCCAGCGAGACTACGGCACTTGTAGCTAACCTGCATGCAAAGCCTGCGCAGTTTCACACAACGTTGCAATCTAAGGTTGGCACAACTTTGCAACTACTATTATAAAGCTGTGCACCGGCAAAGCCTTGCCCAATGCCCAGCCGCAAGCATGCACACACCTCCATTCAATCCACATTGAATGTCTATGACTTCCTCAGTATCACTTGATCCGCCTTTTCCCACCATCACTCTGTCACTATACCCTCTCCTTTGTGAATACATTTGTACACGCTGCACCCAAACAGCCATCAATTCTCATGCAGCTCCCCTCATGCAGCCATGCGAGACACTACTCACCCTTAATCTCAACCCAAGCCCACTGCTGCTGCTGCTGCTGCTGCTGCTGCTGCTGCTGCTGCTGCTGCTGCTGCTGCTGCTGCTGCTGCTGCTGCTGCTGCTGTCACCTCTGCTGCCACTGCTGCAGCCACTGCTGCCACCACTGCTGCCGCCACTGCTGCTGCCACTGCTGGCACCACTGCTGCTGCCACTGCTGCCACCACTGCTGCTGCCACTGCTGCCACCACTGCTGCTGCCACTGCTTCTGCAGCCACTGCTGTAGCCACTGCTGATCGCCTCCATTACTGCTCGTCCATTATGCTCGCTTCCCTCACTGCTCTCTTGCTCGTCCTTGTCCCCAGCTTCCCTGCAGTCACAGTCAACTCTTCCCTCAACCTCACCTCTCTTTCCATCATCACTCCCTGCCACCCTACCCGCCTATCCGCCTGCGAACATCATCGTACATAAGGTAACCCCCTTCTGCCGGAAAGAGAAACGTCAGTCTGGTCAGCGCAGTCAGCTGCTGCAGCCCATCATCCGTGACTGCCGTCCCACCCAGACGAAGTTTCTCAAGTCCTGTCAGCCTCCCCACATGCACCATGCCGGCATTTGTCACCTTGGTCTTCCAGAGATGGAGCTCCGCGAGATTGGTCAAGGACCCAATCCCTTCCAAGGCACTGTCTGAGACATCTGTAAATTGCAGGTCTAGCGTCTCCAGCTGTGGCAGCCTGTACAGGTGCTTCATGCCCTCTGCACTGAAGCCTGAGGTAGATCGCAAGTCGATGCTCTTCAGCTGGGTCATTGTGGACACATGGGCGAGGATGGCGTCTGAGAGGCCGCCGAGACTCGCCAGACCCAGATGGGTTCCTTGTGATGCTGATTTGATTCGCTGAAGGTGATGTATCAAAAGAGAATGAATGGCAAGGAGTGATCATCGAGACAACAGCAAACCACGCTTGCCCTGAAAAACAGTTCATTCAGCACTAACCTCCCATGCAGACTTCCGATCAACTTCATTCCGGATGATTCCCATCTCAACATTCACCCAACTCCTGCAGGCTGCCAATTTCTCCATGGCACGTGGCCAATTCAACTCCTGCACCTCCCTCCTCCTCTCCTCCCTTTCCCTTGCCAACCCCGCTCTCATGTCATCCTCTTTCTTTCTAACCTCCTCAATTAGATCTTCCAAACCTGATTCCCTTCTTCTCTCAGCCATACGGAGTTGCTCTATCATAGAATCCTTGTGCCCAGCCAACGCCCTCTTCACTGCTGCCAATTCTACGGTCATCTCCGCCACTCGTCTCCTCTCAGCCTTCTCCAACTCCCTCTTCCTCTCCTCCACCTGTCCTCTCAGCTCTATGAAGTTCTCTGTGTGTCTTTTCTCAGCCTCTTCAAACTGACTTTTCACAAAGTCCTTTTGCCTCCTCAAGTCTCTTCTCAATGCTGCCAATTCTTCCCTAATCTCACTCGACTCCTTTCTAGCCTCCACTTGCTCTGCCATAGCATCCTTGTGTTCAGCCAGCTCCCTCTTCACAGCTGCCAGCTCACCCTGCACTGCAGCCAACTCTCCCTTTACTGCTGCCACATCCTCCCCGCTCTTCTCCATCTGCCCTCTCACCTCACCCATCTCCAACACTCGTTTCCTCTCAGCCTCCTCCAACTCCTTCCTTGTCTCTTCCACCTTCACGCCAAGCGCCCTCATTCTCATCTCCATCGCCTCTTTCCACTCGTGTGTTCCGCCCATACTTGCCATGATATATCCAACAGCTCCACTTACTCTCTCCATTTGAAAATTGGCGTGCTTCCTACACATGGCAGCATACGGGAGCACGGGCAGACGATGGCAACTCATGGCGGCACATAAGAACACAATGCGGCACACATGGAATGAAAAGATCGGAGTTTTTGTGGAGAGAAGATGCGAGTGGAGCATTAAGAGGATTGAGGAAGTCAAGTGTAGTGAACTGAGCAAAGAGCGCTCAGCTTTAGGCAGCAAGAGAGCTGTGAGGGCAGCAGGAGAGCTGTGAGGGCAGCAGGAGAGCTGTGAGGGCAGCAGGAGAGCTGTGAGGGCAGCAAGAGAGCTGTGAGGGCAGCAGGAGAGCTGTGAGGGCAGCAGGAGAGCTGTGAGGGCAGCAGGAGAGCTGTGAGGGCAGCAGGAGAGCTGTGAGGGCAGCAGGAGAGCTGTGAGGGCAGCAGGAGAGCTGTGAGGGCAGCAGGAGAGCTGTGAGGGCAGCAAGAGAGCTGTTAGGGCAGCAGGAGAGCTGTTAGGGCAGCAGGAGAGCTGTGAGGGCAGCAGGAGAGCTGTGAGGGCAGCAAGAGAGCTGTGAGGGCAGCAGGAGAGCTGTGAGGGCAGCAAGAGAGCTGTGAGGGCAGCAGGAGAGCTGTGAGGGCAGCAAGAGAGCTGTGAGGGCAGCAAGAGAGCTGTGAGGGCAGCAGGAGAGCTGTGAGGGCAGCTTCTGATGATAATATCCAATGATGTGAATGCATACCCCATCAGAGCATTGCAACAATGCGGACATGTGAGGTTTAGGGAATATGCCGGCATACGACAGGAAGCGTCCCTGCCTGCCAGTTGGTGTGATGCTGATGGCAGCGGCGAGAAGGAGGGCGAGCAGCAGCCCTGGCAGAAGCATGGGCACTGCAGTCATCCGAGCCATGGCTGATGGGGCGAGCCCAATGCAGGGCGTGCGCCTGCACAGTGAGGTGTGGCAGGAGGAGAGGATGAATTCAGGGAGCAGGAATAGAGGAGGGAGGGGGGTTGTGGCAGGAAAGACAGGTTCTGTACTGAGGGCACAGGACGAGACAAGCGGACAACATAGGCATGGGGCACAGACGGGTAGAGATGAGACTAGCGTGTGGAATCACACACACGAAAGAACAAGCTGATAGTCAGACTGTAAGGCAGGTGGGGTAGGGGACAAGCGGCAGCAGGGGGGGATGTGGGGAAGGGGGGATGACAGTCGTGCACAGTGTGCACAGGAGCTAACGAGGAGAGGGATGGAGACAAAACGAGAATAAGAATGGTGGCGTAGAATCACGTGAATGAATGCCAAAGGCCAGTGCCTCAACTCATTCGCCGCATACTCCACAACGCACCTGCTCTCCAACAACAACCCTCGTTCACTCTCCTGTGCCGCCTTCTCCGCCACTGCTGCTGCCACCTCCCCCTTCACTGCTGCCAGCTCCTCCCTCACTGCTGCCAGTTCCCCTCTCACTGTTGCAAACAGCCCTCTGACTGCCTCGCTAAGCTCATTCTCCTCCCTTTCTACAGCCATGTCCCAATCCACTCTCAACCAGCGTTCAGGTAGTTTTCAGCAATGCTTGAGTTCAGCACAGAGAAGATTCCCTCTGAAACGTGGACAGGGAGTGAGAAACACTGGACTAGTTAAAGGTGGAGTGAAGTGAAGAGAGGTCAGTAGAGGCAGACGCAAATGGAGAGAGATGTTGAAAGCAAGAGGGAAAGGTGAGGCACTGTAGCTCCTATGGCACGTGAATGAGGATATGAGATCATTGTTCTAAGAGGCATGGGAGCACATAGCCCCATGCTCATTTGCATAGCTGCTCCGGCATGTCATATCCACACAAGACTTCTGCGCAGAAGGAATTTAAAAACCGCTCTCTTTCAAAACCAGACTCACAGACTCACAGGCTAGGTCGATTGGGGGCTAGGTCAGTTGGGGCTAGGTCAGTTGGGGGCTAGGTCAGTTGGGGTTGGGGGCATTAGTTGGGGGCTAGGTTAGTTAAGGGCAAAGACATTCAGGGGCTAAGACACTCAGAGGCTGAGACACTCAGAGGCTAGGTCACTCACAGGTTAGGTCACTCACAGGCTAGGTCACTCACAGGCTACGTCACTCACAGGCTAGGTCATTCACAGGCTAGGTCATTCACAGGCTAGGTCATTCACAGGCTAGGTCATTCACAGGCTAGGTCACTCACAGGCTAGGTCACTCACAGGCTAGGTCACTCACAGGCTAGGTCAAGCACAAGGTTGGCTCGACACAAGTAAGATTGGTCCTAGGCTACAATAGCCACAGGTGGGTCACTTATAGCTAGGTCACTCACAGGCTAGGTCACTCACAGGCTAGGTCACTCACAGGCTAGGTCATTCACAGGCTAGGTCATTCACAGGCTAGGTCACTCACAGGCTAGGTCACTCACAGGCTAGGACACACACAGGCTTGGTCACTCACAGGTTAGGTCACTCACAGGCTAGGTCACTCACAGGCTAGGTCATTCACAGGCTAGGTCATTCACAGGCTAGGTCACTCACAGGCTAGGTCAATCACAGGCTAGGTCACTCACAGGCTAGGTCACTCACAGGCTAGGTCACTCACAGGCTAGGACACACACAGGCTTGGTCACTCACAGGTTAGGTCACTCACAGGCTAGGTCACTCACAGGCTAGGACACACACAGGCTTGGTCACTCACAGGTTAGGTCACTCACAGGCTAGGTCACTCACAGGCTAGGTCATTCACAGGCTAGGTCATTCACAGGCTAGGTCACTCACAGGCTAGGTCACTCACAGGCTAGGTCACTCACAGGCTAGGTCACTCACAGGCTAGGTCACTCACAGGCTAGGTCATTCACAGGCTAGGTCATTCACAGGCTAGGTCACTCACAGGCTAGGTCACTCACAGGCTAGGTCATTCACAGGCTAGGTCATTCACAGGCTAGGTCATTCACAGGCTAGGTCACTCACAGGCTAGGGCACACACAGGCTTGGTCACTCACAGGTTAGGTCACTCACAGGCTAGGTCACTCACAGGCTAGGTCACTCACAGGCTAGGTCACTCACAGGCTAGGTCACTCACAGGCTAGGTCAAGCACAAGGTTGGCTCGACACAAGTAAGATTGGTCCTAGGCTACAATAGCCACAGGTGGGTCACTTATATCTAGGTCACTCACAGGCTAGGTCACTCACAGGCTAGGTCACTCACAGGCTAGGTCATTCACAGGCTAGGTCATTCACACGCTAGGTCACTCACAGGCTAGGTCACTCACAGGCTAGGACACACACAGGCTTGGTCACTCACAGGTTAGGTCACTCACAGGCTAGGTCACTCACAGGCTAGGTCATTCACAGGCTAGGTCATTCACAGGCTAGGTCACTCACAGGCTAGGTCACTCACAGGCTAGGTCACTCACAGGCTAGGTCATTCACAGGCTAGGTCACTCACAGGCTAGGTCACTCACAGGCTAGGTCACTCACAGGCTAGGACACACACAGGCTTGGTCACTCACAGGTTAGGTCACTCACAGCCTAGGTCACTCACAGGCTAGGTCACTCACAGGCTAGGTCATTCACAGGCTAGGACATTCACAGGCTAGGTCATTCACAGGCTAGGTCATTCACAGGCTAGGTCATTCACAGGCTAGGTCACTCACAGGCTAGGTCACTCACAGCCTAGGTCACTCACAGGCTAGGTCACTCACAGGCTAGGTCATTCACAGGCTAGGTCATTCACAGGCTAGGTCATTCACAGGCTAGGTCACTCACAGGCTATGTCACTCACAGGCTAGGTCACTCACAGGCTAGGTCATTCACAGGCTAGGCCACTCACAGGCTAGGTCACTCACAGCCTAGGTCACTCACAGGCTAGGTCACTCACAGGCTAGGTCACTCACAGGCTAGGTCACTCACAGGCTAGGTCACTCACAGGCTAGGTCACTCACAGGCTAGGTCACTCACAGGCTAGGTCACTCACAGGCTAGGTCATTCTTAGGCTAGGTCATTCACAGGCTAGGTCATTCACAGGCTAGGTCACTCACAGGCTAGGTCACTCACAGGCTAGGTCACTCACAGGCTAGGTCAAGCACAAGGTTGGCTCGACACAAGTAAGATTGGTCCTAGGCTACAATAGCCACAGGGGGGTCACTTATAGCTAGGACAGACACAAGCAGGGTTAGTCATAGGCTGGTCACTCACAACAGCTGGTCAGCCACATGCCAGGTCAACCGCACGCGAGGTTACATACGAGCAGCGAGTAGAGTTTTGACTCGACTCGGCCGACTCTGGTGGTCACTTGACTCGACTTGTTGTCACGCTGAGTCAAGTCGGCCCGGCCTAATGGGCAATGCATTGCCCGGCTCTGCTGGACATTTGTCGAGTTGGCACTCGCCTAGTTTGTGATTCGAAACAGCACACCTGACTAGTCTCTACTCGACTGTCACTACTCGACTAGCTTGTCTCCGGCATTTACCTGTGTCAAGCAACATGTCGTTCAGCAACTGAATCTCTCATTTTAGTGGTCCAATCTCGGCCTGATCTAGTTAATAGTCGTTCCTTGTTGGCCTTGTCATTCATATTTGTCCCAGCCCTTATATCGGCCTTGTCGTTCCTACCTCGACTCGCGAGTTAACTCGGGTCGGTCAGAGCCGAGTCGACTCAGGTAGACTCGAGTCGCCCTGTGCACATGTCCAGGTCAGTCACAGGCTAGGTGGGGCAAGCTCGGTCAGTAACGGCAAGACCATTCACAGGCTGGGTCAGTCACCGTCTAGGTTGGTCACACGCTGCGGTGGGCCACAGGGTAGGTCGGCTAGAGCCAGGATAAGTGACAGCGTGGGTGTATCAACGATGGCGAGGAAAAGCAGCACTGGAAGGGCCCGGGACAACAACGCTGAGTGGGACAAGACTGCGTCAAGGGCCTCTGCTAGTTTATAGGTTGTCCAGACCTCGTAGCGACTCGGTATGTAACCTAAAGTTGCACATTCCCCCCACCCCCCCCTGCAATGCAGAGGGCTGACTGGGGAAAACTAAAAGTGGAGCTTACCTCTTTTAGGATTTCTTAGACTATCGCACTTCTGCGGCCCTCGAAGTGACTTAGCAGCGGCGCGGTAATTAGATCTCTAGTGCGTGCTGCATGATGGTGAGGCTTGGCGATTCGAGAGTACTCAAGGAAGGTAGGCAAAGAGATCGCAGCCCGGGAAAAACCGAGGGGAAACGATGCGCGGAAGATTGTACGGATGACACTGAAGGAACGGCGCCGCCGTTGGTACTACGCGCATTTTTTTTCATCGAGGTGGTATGAGTAGCATTTCTTTTCACTACGCGCTTTTAGTCACCATCGTAGTATTCCTCTACTATGCGTCCCGACACACTGGTGAGCACAAGCTTGTTCGTTAGTTTGAGGTGTACAGTACTTTTGCTGCTCCTCCAACACCTTCCCACCGCCCCACAAACCATCGCCAGTTTCCTCCTTTGTGTTGCCTTGCTTCATCAAAATGATAATTCGCGAGACTCGTGCACCAGTCGCGAACTTTCGTCTTATCGCGAAACGAAACTGTCCTGCCGTCGCCACTTCCTTCCACCAAACACCCCAACCGAGAAAATTCTCGTGGTAGCATTTGTCAGCCATGTTTCGTGTCTTGCACCAATGCATTCCTCTATGGCGTTGTTCTGAGATAGACCGTCCTGTGCCGTACATAACGTGTAAAATGGTAAACCACGCAACGTTCTGGACAACTGATTGCCGTAGTAGTAAGCGTCATGCGTCAGTCGCGTTTTGCGAAATTGCCCAATTCATGCCAGTTAAGGTTTCTGCAGCTGCGGGCTTCCTTTTTCATTCAAGTCTAACTTATTTTCCATTTTAGCGTCGATTTCGGTCATGGAATCTACCGTATTGTTCATTATCTGACTTGCGGGAATCTTGCGGATGCCCGGAAGAAGAATAGTCGGTCGCGCTGCGGCCTCCGAGAGAATGACAATCTATAATGCCTTCACAATCTACGGAATTTTCGCCGTCATATCGGGCCTGTCCTCGCGGACCGCTGTGACGGCATGGTCAGGTACGCATTCGAAGCCATGGCAAAGGTACGCGCTGCAAAGCATTGTCACGTACGCGTCAAGGGATGGCGAGGTGCGCGTTATACGGCATGACGAGGTACGCATTATAAGGCGTGCTGACACGTTTCGAGGCACTACTGTTAATGGTAAACTTCGCGCGTTTCAAGGCATGGTGAGATATCAACCCAAAACAAGTTAGCATAGGATCAGCTGATAGAATCAGAAGCACTCAAAGAAAGCAATGCGATTTCTGTTTGCAACAGCTTCAGCTACCACCGAAGGGTTTCCATGCCAATCACACTCCCTCTCCCTTTCTTCGCAGCCCCACTTCCCCCACACTCCCCCCTCCCCCTCATCCTCCTCCTTCCCCGTTACAGTCACAGAGCAACACTCAGCATCAATGGGGCACCACGCATCAAGCATGGGTCACCACCATCATTATCACACAACCAGCCCACACGGCAATTCTTTCAGCCAAGCTCCGTCTCAATACAGTCACATCCAGTACACTCCCAACCACGGATACAGTCACGACGAACGTGACATGCTGCGTCGGGTTGAGTCGGTGCGGCAGCAGCGTGAGGGGGACAGCCAGCCCCCGCCGCTCTTCACTGCTGTGGCTGCCGCTGCTGCGTCAGGCGAATCCTTTGTCCTCGACGTCCCTCTCAGACGGACAACTGCTGCTGCTGCTACAGATGCTGCTACAGAAGCTGCTACAGCTGGTTACACACCTGCTGCTGCTGCTACAACCGGAGCAGCCAGACTGCAAGCCCAGGGGAGGCGGAGGTGGAGCAGGAGGCACCGCACGGTGATCATCGGGCCAGTCTCCCTGCAATGGGCCGCTATAGCCGCAGGGTACCAGCTGTCTCAGAAGCGCCCAAAAGGCCCCTGCAGTATGTGGCTCAAGAGAGTCTTCATAGTCAGAGTGAAGTCTGCTGCTGATTTCGCAGCCAGGGCCTCTCTCCCGCCCACCGCCACCGTTATTCTGCATTTACAGAAGGATTTGATGCTGCATAGAGGGGTTTTGTTCGGGAGGCAGCAGTCTTGCACGATACTCATGTCGGCAAAATGGCCCGGTTACACGCTGACGGGTGGTAACCCTATGTATCCGGTGCTGCGCGTGTGGAACACGAGTAACGTCATGTCGTTGAACGTGAACTATCGCCTGCCGGTGACGGAGAGCAGCCCCGAGTGCACCACCGTGCCCGAGCTCGGCAAAGGCGTCACCTGCCCCGCCATCTCTATCCATCGGTCCTACGGCGTGCAGATTGGCAAGGTGAGCCCCTCCCTTCTGCCTGATTTTCACTCTCCCTTTCCTCATCCCACACGTCGTCATCAAGCTCCCTCGTGCATCCACGCTCCTCCCTACTCCGTCTACCTCTCTCCCTCGCAGAGCAACATCTTTGGGCGAGTGGACGTGCTACGCAGCATGGACGTGCGGCTGGACTCACTCTCGGTCACCGGAGTGGCTTCCTTTATCAAGTCGCCTGGGGTGATCCGAGTGGCCCTGTGTGGGTACGGGCCGGGACTTCTCAAATCCAACATTGTCATCTCCAACAATGAGGTGTACGGTGAGTGAGTGGGATGCTTCCCAGAGTCAACGGGAGTCAACCAGAGTCAATGAGATTGAAGGTCAGTGAATGGTCCTCACTGTCCCCCCTGCCCCCTTAACCTCTCTCTCCCCATTGCCCCCTTATCCTCACTCTCCCCCTGCCCTCCTGCCCCATGGTCTTGCACAGAGGAGCAGTGGGCACAGCAGTAACAAACAACTACATCCATGACTATATCTTCTCATCACCATGCTCTTTCCCGCTTTTTCCCTTAACCCACTCCCCCCTCTTTCCTTGCCTGCAGGGGTGAACACCCCCGTTGTGCTGCACAGGGGAGCAGTGGGCATAAAAGTCACCAGCATCTTTGCGGGAAGTCGACGTGCATTACAGATGCTGGCAGCATGCTCACTTGCATCAACTCCGATCGAGCTCGCTATTTCCTCTCCTCACCCCTCCCCCCTCTCCTTCTTGTGCCCAATCCCCCCATTGCCCCCTCTTCTCGTTCCGCCCTCTTCCGCCCTCTTTCCATTGCCCGCATGGGTGAACACTCTGACTGTCGTGCACATGGGAGTGGCGGCTATCACCGAGACCGACAACTACATCCATGACTACATTCTCGCTGGCATCCCGGTGCCGTGCCCACGTGCAATGCAGCGGCGACTGCATGCTCACTCGCGTCAACTCCAGCCTAGTTTTGTTTTGTGGGAGGAACCTGAATGGGGATCATATCTCAGCTCGGATTTACCACTGACGCACTGGTTGAACTCGCCTCCTTTTATCGCACTCTTTCCCCCTTCTTTCCTTTGACTGCAGGGGTGAACACTCCGATCCTCTTGCACAAGGGAGCAGTTGGAGTAACCGTCAGGAACAACTACGTGCACGACTTCATATTCGCAGGGATCAAGTGCGGTGCCGACGTGCATTACAGCTTTGCCTGCATGCTCGCGCGCATCAACTCCAACCTTGTCGTTTCCTCTGGAAGGAATCTCAACGGGGATCATGACTCGGCGGGGATCTACTTCTACACGCACTGGTTCAGCCCGGGGAACTCGGCGCTGTGCAACTACGTGTTCAACGGCGACCACTGCTACTATCTGGACCATTGCACGTCGGGCGTGCTTGTCAGGGGAGGCGCGTGCGTGAATACGTATGACGGCATGAAAGTGAACAACGGCAAGCGGTGAGGAGGGACTGTGGAGATCTCGTGCTGTGCAGTTATATGTTCAGTTGCGCCCTTTAGGGCTCTCTTTTCGTTTGCCTCAGCAGCCCCCTTTGCACAACAACTCCGGATGCCGTACTGCCCTGTATTGCCGTCCCCCCCTTCCTCCCCCGTGTTCACTGCAGGAACGTGATCGAGAACGTGGCGATGAAAGGCACGCGGGGGTCGCTGGGATGGACGTCGTGCTTCACAGTGACCGTCAACAACTGCCTCAAAGACCCAGGGAACTACTGGGAGGCCATGCGCGTGAAATACTACAACAGCGCCCGCATCAACCGGGTGAGTGAGAGCAGAGCAGGAAGTGAGCAAAGAGCACATGCCATAGCTTCGCATCCAACATGTGAGACGCCTCAAAAGTACCAAAAGGGACTACTGGGATGCAATGCAAGTGAAATACTACACAGCACCCATATCAACCGAGTACGTGAAGAGAGCTATTACTACTGGGAGGCATCCCTGTGAATATCTGTGCCAGTGGCTGTGCATATGGTGCCCCTGTGGTGGCGTTAAGCCTCGTGCCTCACACACAGCAACCGTATCAACTGGGTGTGTGAGAGTAAAGGAGCAGATGTTCAGCAGTGAGAGAGTGTGAAGTCACATGTGTTCAAACTTACCAAGTGATCACTGCTCCTCCACCCCTTGACCCCCCCTCCATATCATGTGTGCAATAAAAGCTAATGTATTCTTTTCCTTACCTCCCCCTTCGTCTCCCTTCTCTCCTCTCCTCTCTCCCCTCCCTCTCTCCCGTCTCTCCCATCTCCTCTCTCTTTTCCCCCCCTCGTTATTGTCACATCCAGCTATGGCCTTGGATGAAGGACGTCTGCAAGGAAACATCTGCCAATGGCGGCGTGCCATGTAACCCGCCAGGTCAGCCAGGTGCTGACGTCACGGGAGCATGCAGCGGGCTGGGAACCGACAATCTCATCGACGTTGTCGCCGTCAACACCACCAATTATGGCCTCGACTGGAAGCACTGCGAGAATTTCACCGTTACGGAAAAGTTGAATCGGGAGATCAACATTTCGCTGAGTCAGCCTCTTGCTGCGGGCTTTCGGGACTACATAGGGAATGATTTGGGGCTGGAAAATACATCTGCAATTTTGAAGTTGCGGCCGGATTATTTGAGCTGCCCGTTGGGGCTCGCAGGACCAAGAAAGTTTTCGGAGAAGTCTTTTTATGAGGGTTACAACATCCCGATGCCAAGGGGGTTTCGGAAGGTTGTTACGATGGACATTAAGCATATTATAAATCAGGACTTGATTATCCCCTCGGTTAGAGCTCAGATGATGGCAGCTGGTGATGGGGAGTATTCATGGCTTGCCTCATCTAGAGGCTTATCAACTAAAATCTAACACCGTCACGCTTTTCAAGTTACGAACGCTATTCCATCTTATTCCGAACAAATATTCCAATGTCAGGTGACGCCCTCTCTGCTTTCACACGTGGCCTATTCGGGCGTGCAACATCGCCCACACACAAGCGACGCCGCGAACCTGCCTTTACACTTGCCCTCTCTCCCTCCCCTCCTCCCCCTCGCCTTACACCCATCCCCTTCCCTTACCCCATTCCCTTTCTGTTACCTTCTCCCCTTCCCTTTATCCCCTACCTTTCCACTAATCCACCCCCCCTTCCCTTACCCCCTCCATGAACTGCATCCCCTTCCGTTTTCCTTTTCTCCTTTTCCCACCCCTCCCTTCACCCAAGTCTCCTTACCCCAATTTCCTACTATGGCACCAGGCTCTGCCACGACCCGTCCCGCAGCTCACTCCTGACGAATTCAATCCTCGCGGGCTGATTGGAATGGCTGAGCTTGTAAGGAGTGCGGTGCGTAGTACTGCAGGCATCACTGCTCCAACCAAACGATGACCGCAGCCTCGCCTTGCACCCGCCGTTGCACCACCGCCAGTTGCGCCGCTGCTGGAGACGTAACGATTGCCCCCTCAGCTGTGCTCCTGCGTCTCTTGCACCCCCACTTGTTGCCTGCCTGCGTGCCACATGCCCCTTGCCTGGAAGAACCTTCACGATTCCGGGTCGTCCTTATGATCGCTCACGTGACGCCCGCCTGCCTGAGCCCTCCTGCTACCCTTCCCACCATGCCATTTCTCCCTTTTCTCGTTTCCTGCTCCCTCCGTCTTCCACCCCCCGTCAACCTCCCCCCCTCTCCCCCACTCCACACATGTCACTCCGCCGCTAACTTCTTCCTGCCCCACTGCACTCACTCCCGCCACTTCCCTTACGCTTTTGGCCCTTACGGCCCGGCCACACTGCTCTTGCAGCACCACACTCTCCCCTTCCCTTCCTATCCCCCTCCCTCCCCTTCCCCCCACCCCTCACCCCCAGCACAGATGCTTACCCCCAGGCAGCGGGTCCACTGACTACTAAGGCATTATCACCTCCCTTTGACATGCCCTCCCTCTCTGCTATGTTGCCAGCGCACTGTTTACAGGACGAAACGGCTATACCCTGTGCCCTTGGGGCAACCTGCGGGTCACAAGCATGTCAGTCTCAGGTCAGTTTCAGGTCAGTTTCAGGTCAGTTTCAGGTCAGTTTCAGGTCAGTTTTCAGGTGAATTTCAAGGGGGTTTCAGGTAAGTCCCAGGTGAGTCTCGAACGAGTCTCTGGACTCACTCGCGCCACTTCTGTTACGCTCTGCAGCAGCCCGTGCCCTCGGGTTAAGCTGCTGGTCACAAGCAGGTCAGTTGCAGGTCAGTCTCAAGTGAATTTCAAGTGAGTCTCAGGTCAGTCTCATGTCAATCTCAGGTGGGGTTGAGAACGTACCAAAATTGAGTCCAACCGGTCCACTAGTCGAAGAGAACTAGTTTGATCGAGTCGAGCCAACACCGAGGTTCATAACCGAACCCGTTCGGCAGCAGCATCTCCCGTGGATCTCAGCGAAATCTGCAATGTTCATGCACTTGGTGTCCCGGTTTCCATGTCAAACCTCTCTGTTGTGTTTGTCGCGGCTCAGCACCTTAAGTTAAACCAACCAAACGGGTTGGCCCACTTTTGCAACTAAACCCTAAACCCTAATCGATGTGGCTTGACGCAATAGGACGGCGTCACGCCTCTGCTCCCCTTTGCACGCCTGTGATCTCGTCACATGCCAACACCACTGGGCACCTCATTGCACCACTTTGCTTGCCTGTGAATGCCTTTATTTAGACCTCTTTCGCTTCTCGACCCCCCCCTCCTCCCCCCCTCCCCCCACGCCCTTTGTTCTATCAACCCTTAATGCACAAAACAGAACAGTACTCTCACCTCATTGCACCCCTGTGCTTGCCTGTGTCGCTTTTGAGAATTCTCAAGAGTGACACAAGAAAAGTACTCTCACCTCATTGCACCCCTGTGGCTTACCTGTGAATCCCTCACTTCAGACCTCCTTCACCTCTGGACACCCCCACCCACCCCCCCCCCCCCCCCCCCACGCCCTTTGATTCTATCAACCCTCAATGCACAAAACAGAATAGAACTCTCACCTCATTGCAGCCCTGTTCTTGCCTGTGAATGCCTCACATTCCTCCTCCTTCTCCTCTGCCTCACACATTCCCGCTCCGTGATTCTACTACAGGCGCAGCAGATTACCCTCGCCCCCAGCAGCCAGAGAAACGCACACGTTCCCCCCAAAATAGAGGCAGCTGGATGGACCCGGAAAGGAGGCAAGTCGGCAGGAGGCAGCGGCGGCAAGACAGCCAAGCCCAAGGCAAAGTCATGGAAAGAACGGCACGAAAAGTTTGTGAAGCCGTTTATCCTAGATGTGTACATTTCCAAGCGTTACGTGAGCGCGAAAGTGATGCATAGGGTTACCAGCAGGGTGGTTTCGGTGGCGACGACGAGCGCGAAAGACCTGAGGATGTCGCTTCCGTCTTTAGTGGATGAGAATGCGTGTCGGGTGATTGGGCGGCTGATTGCGGAGAGATCTATGGATGTAGATGTGTTTGCGGTGGTGTTTAGATTGAAGAAAGGGCAGAAGTATGAGGGGAAATTAGCGACTGTGGTTGATACAATGGTGGATGAAGGTGGCATTATGCTACTGTAGCCATTTCCTGTTGAACTGTAATCTGAAAGTAGTACTGGTGGTCTGAGGCAAGGCAACCATCTCTTCCTCCCTGTCTCCCGCTTTCTGAAAAGAGCATGACAAATTAATCTGATGGCTGGCTGTGTTACATGAGGCGAGAAGCTAGGTACAGTACTATGGAAGCTCTGGGCCTTGGGCACAGGAAATGGGTTTTACATTGAATATATTCTCTATACAACAGCCGCATTACAGTGCACACACGCAAGACGTCCAGTTCCGTCAATTCGCTGTGTAATTGCACGGGTATCGGTCACGACACGAGGATAGCGAACAGATGTAACAGCGTGTTGTGTCCACGAGCTCTTCGCTGTCGACCTTTCGGACATTCACGAGCGATTTGCGAGACAAGGTATACGAGATGTGGTAACAAGGGACGCATGAGCAAACCGTAATACGAAATACAGAATCTGCGGTTCAGCCAGGCTTTCTGCGATCAAGTGCGCTTCATTGAGATTCCGAGCATTTGGATCAGGTGTTTGTCGAAACGAATTTACCATACAACGCAAATGGCAGTCCAGCAGCAGGTAGACCAGGGCTCTCGTTAGCAGACTAATTTAGTCTGTTGGTCTAGATTTCAGTCGCATTTTTTGTTGTTCATATGTTCTCGCAGACAAAAAAATGCGGCTCATATGAGCAGATAAGGAGTTTATATTCATATGTTTTGGCAGACCACAGGTTGTATTTCACATGAGTTTCCAGACAGCGAGGATACGTATGTCTGATAACCAAAGGGATAACAACGAAGCTCGACAATCCCCTGGCAAGATTCGATCCCAGACCCGCAAGATTCCGTGTTCAAATCAAACCAACTACGCTACTCACATGAATTTGTGCGCACGTTAAAACATTTTATCTGCGTTCACAGACGGCCTTAGATATTTCATATGAAAATCAGATCACCCAGGATCCCTCATATGATGGTCAGACTAAAAAAAAAAAAATTACTTTTTCATCAGACGGCCCAAATAGTTAGCAAGAGCCCTGAGGTAGACCAGGGCCCTCGTTATCAGACCAATTTGGTCTGAATTTCTGATTCTCAGACGTGATTTTTTGTATTCATCTGAGTTCTAAGAAATTTTGAAATTGTTCATCTGAACCCCAAGACAAATGCTTTACGTTCGTATGAATTTCCAGACCATGTAGAACACTTCGTCTAACTTTACAGATATCGCGTTCGCTTTCGTCTGAAACCGACAATTTAGCCCACTAGGCCATTGGACCACTAGGCTACCACTAGGCCATGTACCTGCACGCGCATTCAATGTGCGTGTCTTGTAGCAGCCTCGCTGTCACGAACCTGCGGCAATTGCTGCCAGGAGACTGTCATGTAGCTGGCTGTCGGCGCTGACGCCAGCCACAGCCACGGCAACGCGCTGTCACATTGTGCCAGCGCACTTTCCTTTCATACACGTTACGTAACCTTGGACAGTGGTTGTCCTTCCCCGGCTCCCTTCACGCATCGCCTTTTGATTCACACTGCTCGATGAGGGGGTTTCATGCAGCTGACCGAGGCTTGTTAAACAGGCTGTTTGAGGAGCTCGTCCACCTCACCTCTCACCCAGCCGAGCATGGTCCCTCATCACAATTTCTATCATCTCGTTTAGGCTATGGCCGACCCCACCGCTGCTGCGCCAGGGGTTTCGGCGTTAGACTTCCTAACGCAGGCCAAGCCAATCGCCCCTGTCGCCCCACCGATTGCTTCAATATCTGCTGCGGTACCCTCGCCTATTGATGATGCGCCATTGTCGGAAAATGGCGATAACTCTTTGCCATCGACCGCAACACCAACTACGCCAGTATCTACCTGCATGCCGTCATGCGGTGCCGATAATAACGTCCGCGTAGTATCTGACACTACCAAATCCGCTCTCAGGGCTAACCCCGTCTTGCCCGACAGGTCATCACAGGGGCGGTACAAGCAGCGTGTGCTGAACTTCGCGCGTCCGGGCGGTCCGACTCAGCCGGCACCGTCTGTGGAGACGCGACCCGTGGCCCCCGAACCTGCGGCTAAGGTTTTCGAGGACCCCAAAGGCAAGCAGTTGTCGGTTGAAGAGCTTCAGCTGAAGTGCAAGGAGCAGTGGCAGCGGTACTTTCCATGGCTCTTCATCTCCGAAACCAAGGATGGCCGACCCTGCATGCGCTGCAGCATCTGCATGGTGTTCGCCGACCCCCACTCTAAGTACGGGCGCTACGGTGTTGGTGGCATCGACATTCAGAAGCAGACGATGCGCAAGCATCATCACAGCCGGAAGCATGAGGCGGCGGTCCGGGAGAAGGAACAACGCGACGGCGCGAAGAAAGGACAGAAGTCTATCGTTGACTTCCACCAAGGGGACGAGGATGTCAAGCGCCTTGCACGTTTGATGTCTATTGTCTTATTCATTTGCAAGTCTGACGCGCCCATTGTGCTCTTTGTGTCACTCGTCCAGTTCATGGCTGAGCAGGGGACTCCGGATATGCCCCTTAAGGAGAACGGGACATATTACAGCGAGTAAGTGTCCCGTATATTGAGTTCTGTGGTTTGCTTTCGAAGAGATGCTAATGATAGCAATCCCGCCTTGTTTCAGGTACGGC